AAAACGACGATATAAACCTGAAGATGATGTCATAAAACATCGAAACATGTCGTACAATTAATAATAAGCGCCATAATAAATGTAACATCATACTAAGATAAAAGCACCATAATATAACATAATATAACTTATTGTAATATTTTATACTACAGATGTTATAGTGTTATATAAATTTTAACAACAACATTTTAAACACGTTTGTGTATAGACTGGAATAATAAATATATAATTGGTTTCAACACAAACATGACGCACTTAAGCTACAAATAAGAAAACATATACAAAGCAATGAGGACCGGACGTAATTAAGGCGCAAAATCAAACCGGCATGCATTATCAGTAAAGAACAAATTAGGAACAGACTGAACACATGGCATATGTAGAAAATTTCAATTCATAATCTCTTCTCATCTACATCTAGAAACGCATATGTGTACAGATGAAATTTTATATTGTACAATTCAAATTTCTGCTAAATTAATGGGAAAACAACAAATCAAATATCAACCCAAACTAAATTCATTAAAGAAGCTCTTTGCTCTTCTGAATAAATAACTGAAGCATTTTCTTCCGCGTGCAGTCAGTCACCTGCTTTTCTGATAAGACCAGTCAAACCACAACAAGAACTTAACTAAGTATCAGTCGGCGACTTCTGACTAGAGGTGCAGTGAATGCTCATTCGAGTAACTTAAATTTCATTTAAGCAAACATTTTCCAAACAAATTATATAAAGACTCTCATGTCACGAAGTAATTAAAACTGTACATAAACACAAATGATAACGAAAATTAACATTGGCGAGAGTAACAATTATAATAAATTATTCCTGTAAAACATAACCAAAATCGGATTATCGGTTCTCAAAATGCTCATGAACGGCCACCGACTCAGTGACTGAAAGAGGAATCTGTAATAATCCGGAAGTGCTAAAATGTATTAAACACCGTATCTCGTACCTTGCATAAATACAAAATGTCTGAAAGAAATTAGATTGAAAATATTTCTTGAATGTTCGCGGAAATATTTGGATTATACAAAGAAATTTTCAAAAAACGGCCTTAAGACAAAACGAAATGTCAGGACACGCATTTTCTCATTTCATATTTTTACTGCGTGCAGACAACTTAGCAGGGACAGGTAAGAAATGTATTTTCCCAAGTCGCGAAGAAGGATTTTACTGGATATGAATACAATCCATCCAAATAGATTCTAATCGATATTGATGGAATTTCGTCAATCATAAGTAAAGAAAATGTATTGTGTGTAGAACCCTCCATTGCAAAGAAGCGTAGGGTAACAAAACACTGTGTGGTCGATTTGCAGAAAAAAATGATTTTAATTTTCTGAATTTCAGTACAAACACTACGTAACATCCCAGCTGTGCTGGGAATTCTCGCACTATGTTTCACTTTGGGGGCAAGTTTCCCAAAGCCCAAGGGAAGATCATCGCCCTGTGAAGCAGGGGTGGACTACTACGGAGACTCCACTGACTGCAATGCATATTACCAATGCGTATCAGGGTACGAAATACTATTACATTGTCAACCGGGACTTCACTGGAATAGCAAAATCAATGCATGCGACTGGCCAGAAAGTGCGAGCTGCATTGCCGAATTAAACAAGGGTGAGGACGAAGACGTGGCAACAGATGTAGCTCCCACGGAAGACGACAGCAACGAAGGCGACGCACCATCAGAGGGCGAAAGTGAAGAAAGCACTTCAGGATCAGACGAGAGCGAGAGTGAAGAAAGCACTCCAGCACCCGAGAGCGAGAGAGAAGAAAGCACTTCAGCGCCAGAGGACAGTGAAGAAAGTGAGAGTGAAGAAAGCACTTCAGCGCCAGAGGACAGTGAAGAAAGTGAGAGTGAAGAAAGCACTTCAGCGCCAGAGGACAGTGAAGAAAGTGAGAGTGAAGAAAGCACTTCAGCGCCAGAGGACAGTGAAGAAAGTGAGAGTGAAGAAAGCACTTCAGCGCCAGAGGACAGTGAAGAAAGTGAGAGTGAAGAAAGCACTTCAGCGCCAGAGGACAGTGAAGAAAGTGAGAGTGAAGAAAGCACTTCAGCGCCAGAGGACAGTGAAGAAAGTGAGAGTGAAGAAAGCACTTCAGCGCCAGAGGACAGTGAAGAAAGTGAGAGTGAAGAAAGCACTTCAGCGCCAGAGGACAGTGAAGAAAGTGAGAGTGAAGAAAGCACTTCAGCGCCAGAGGACAGTGAAGAAAGTGAGAGTGAAGAAAGCACTTCAGCGCCAGAGGACAGTGAAGAAAGTGAGAGTGAAGAAAGCACTTCAGCGCCAGAGGACAGTGAAGAAAGTGAGAGTGAAGAAAGCACTTCAGCGCCAGAGGACAGTGAAGAAAGTGAGAGTGAAGAAAGCACTTCAGCGCCAGAGGACAGTGAAGAAAGTGAGAGTGAAGAAAGCACTTCAGCGCCAGAGGACAGTGAAGAAAGTGAGAGTGAAGAAAGCACTTCAGCGCCAGAGGACAGTGAAGAAAGTGAGAGTGAAGAAAGCACTTCAGCGCCAGAGGACAGTGAAGAAAGTGAGAGTGAAGAAAGCACTTCAGCGCCAGAGGACAGTGAAGAAAGTGAGAGTGAAGAAAGCACTTCAGCGCCAGAGGACAGTGAAGAAAGTGAGAGTGAAGAAAGCACTTCAGCGCCAGAGGACAGTGAAGAAAGTGAGAGTGAAGAAAGCACTTCAGCGCCAGAGGACAGTGAAGAAAGTGAGAGTGAAGAAAGCACTTCAGCGCCAGAGGACAGTGAAGAAAGTGAGAGTGAAGAAAGCACTTCAGCGCCAGAGGACAGTGAAGAAAGTGAGAGTGAAGAAAGCACTTCAGCGCCAGAGGACAGTGAAGAAAGTGAGAGTGAAGAAAGCACTTCAGCGCCAGAGGACAGTGAAGAAAGTGAGAGTGAAGAAAGCACTTCAGCGCCAGAGGACAGTGAAGAAAGTGAGAGTGAAGAAAGCACTTCAGCGCCAGAGGACAGTGAAGAAAGTGAGAGTGAAGAAAGCACTTCAGCGCCAGAGGACAGTGAAGAAAGTGAGAGTGAAGAAAGCACTTCAGCGCCAGAGGACAGTGAAGAAAGTGAGAGTGAAGAAAGCACTTCAGCGCCAGAGGACAGTGAAGAAAGTGAGAGTGAAGAAAGCACTTCAGCGCCAGAGGACAGTGAAGAAAGTGAGAGTGAAGAAAGCACTTCAGCGCCAGAGGACAGTGAAGAAAGTGAGAGTGAAGAAAGCACTTCAGCGCCAGAGGACAGTGAAGAAAGTGAGAGTGAAGAAAGCACTTCAGCGCCAGAGGACAGTGAAGAAAGTGAGAGTGAAGAAAGCACTTCAGCGCCAGAGGACAGTGAAGAAAGTGAGAGTGAAGAAAGCACTTCAGCGCCAGAGGACAGTGAAGAAAGTGAGAGTGAAGAAAGCACTTCAGCGCCAGAGGACAGTGAAGAAAGTGAGAGTGAAGAAAGCACTTCAGCGCCAGAGGACAGTGAAGAAAGTGAGAGTGAAGAAAGCACTTCAGCGCCAGAGGACAGTGAAGAAAGTGAGAGTGAAGAAAGCACTTCAGCGCCAGAGGACAGTGAAGAAAGTGAGAGTGAAGAAAGCACTTCAGCGCCAGAGGACAGTGAAGAAAGTGAGAGTGAAGAAAGCACTTCAGCGCCAGAGGACAGTGAAGAAAGTGAGAGTGAAGAAAGCACTTCAGCGCCAGAGGACAGTGAAGAAAGTGAGAGTGAAGAAAGCACTTCAGCGCCAGAGGACAGTGAAGAAAGTGAGAGTGAAGAAAGCACTTCAGCGCCAGAGGACAGTGAAGAAAGTGAGAGTGAAGAAAGCACTTCAGCGCCAGAGGACAGTGAAGAAAGTGAGAGTGAAGAAAGCACTTCAGCGCCAGAGGACAGTGAAGAAAGTGAGAGTGAAGAAAGCACTTCAGCGCCAGAGGACAGTGAAGAAAGTGAGAGTGAAGAAAGCACTTCAGCGCCAGAGGACAGTGAAGAAAGTGAGAGTGAAGAAAGCACTTCAGCGCCAGAGGACAGTGAAGAAAGTGAGAGTGAAGAAAGCACTTCAGCGCCAGAGGACAGTGAAGAAAGTGAGAGTGAAGAAAGCACTTCAGCGCCAGAGGACAGTGAAGAAAGTGAGAGTGAAGAAAGCACTTCAGCGCCAGAGGACAGTGAAGAAAGTGAGAGTGAAGAAAGCACTTCAGCGCCAGAGGACAGTGAAGAAAGTGAGAGTGAAGAAAGCACTTCAGCGCCAGAGGACAGTGAAGAAAGTGAGAGTGAAGAAAGCACTTCAGCGCCAGAGGACAGTGAAGAAAGTGAGAGTGAAGAAAGCACTTCAGCGCCAGAGGACAGTGAAGAAAGTGAGAGTGAAGAAAGCACTTCAGCGCCAGAGGACAGTGAAGAAAGTGAGAGTGAAGAAAGCACTTCAGCGCCAGAGGACAGTGAAGAAAGTGAGAGTGAAGAAAGCACTTCAGCGCCAGAGGACAGTGAAGAAAGTGAGAGTGAAGAAAGCACTTCAGCGCCAGAGGACAGTGAAGAAAGTGAGAGTGAAGAAAGCACTTCAGCGCCAGAGGACAGTGAAGAAAGTGAGAGTGAAGAAAGCACTTCAGCGCCAGAGGACAGTGAAGAAAGTGAGAGTGAAGAAAGCACTTCAGCGCCAGAGGACAGTGAAGAAAGTGAGAGTGAAGAAAGCACTTCAGCGCCAGAGGACAGTGAAGAAAGTGAGAGTGAAGAAAGCACTTCAGCGCCAGAGGACAGTGAAGAAAGTGAGAGTGAAGAAAGCACTTCAGCGCCAGAGGACAGTGAAGAAAGTGAGAGTGAAGAAAGCACTTCAGCGCCAGAGGACAGTGAAGAAAGTGAGAGTGAAGAAAGCACTTCAGCGCCAGAGGACAGTGAAGAAAGTGAGAGTGAAGAAAGCACTTCAGCGCCAGAGGACAGTGAAGAAAGTGAGAGTGAAGAAAGCACTTCAGCGCCAGAGGACAGTGAAGAAAGTGAGAGTGAAGAAAGCACTTCAGCGCCAGAGGACAGTGAAGAAAGTGAGAGTGAAGAAAGCACTTCAGCGCCAGAGGACAGTGAAGAAAGTGAGAGTGAAGAAAGCACTTCAGCGCCAGAGGACAGTGAAGAAAGTGAGAGTGAAGAAAGCACTTCAGCGCCAGAGGACAGTGAAGAAAGTGAGAGTGAAGAAAGCACTTCAGCGCCAGAGGACAGTGAAGAAAGTGAGAGTGAAGAAAGCACTTCAGCGCCAGAGGACAGTGAAGAAAGTGAGAGTGAAGAAAGCACTTCAGCGCCAGAGGACAGTGAAGAAAGTGAGAGTGAAGAAAGCACTTCAGCGCCAGAGGACAGTGAAGAAAGTGAGAGTGAAGAAAGCACTTCAGCGCCAGAGGACAGTGAAGAAAGTGAGAGTGAAGAAAGCACTTCAGCGCCAGAGGACAGTGAAGAAAGTGAGAGTGAAGAAAGCACTTCAGCGCCAGAGGACAGTGAAGAAAGTGAGAGTGAAGAAAGCACTTCAGCGCCAGAGGACAGTGAAGAAAGTGAGAGTGAAGAAAGCACTTCAGCGCCAGAGGACAGTGAAGAAAGTGAGAGTGAAGAAAGCACTTCAGCGCCAGAGGACAGTGAAGAAAGTGAGAGTGAAGAAAGCACTTCAGCGCCAGAGGACAGTGAAGAAAGTGAGAGTGAAGAAAGCACTTCAGCGCCAGAGGACAGTGAAGAAAGTGAGAGTGAAGAAAGCACTTCAGCGCCAGAGGACAGTGAAGAAAGTGAGAGTGAAGAAAGCACTTCAGCGCCAGAGGACAGTGAAGAAAGTGAGAGTGAAGAAAGCACTTCAGCGCCAGAGGACAGTGAAGAAAGTGAGAGTGAAGAAAGCACTTCAGCGCCAGAGGACAGTGAAGAAAGTGAGAGTGAAGAAAGCACTTCAGCGCCAGAGGACAGTGAAGAAAGTGAGAGTGAAGAAAGCACTTCAGCGCCAGAGGACAGTGAAGAAAGTGAGAGTGAAGAAAGCACTTCAGCGCCAGAGGACAGTGAAGAAAGTGAGAGTGAAGAAAGCACTTCAGCGCCAGAGGACAGTGAAGAAAGTGAGAGTGAAGAAAGCACTTCAGCGCCAGAGGACAGTGAAGAAAGTGAGAGTGAAGAAAGCACTTCAGCGCCAGAGGACAGTGAAGAAAGTGAGAGTGAAGAAAGCACTTCAGCGCCAGAGGACAGTGAAGAAAGTGAGAGTGAAGAAAGCACTTCAGCGCCAGAGGACAGTGAAGAAAGTGAGAGTGAAGAAAGCACTTCAGCGCCAGAGGACAGTGAAGAAAGTGAGAGTGAAGAAAGCACTTCAGCGCCAGAGGACAGTGAAGAAAGTGAGAGTGAAGAAAGCACTTCAGCGCCAGAGGACAGTGAAGAAAGTGAGAGTGAAGAAAGCACCCCAGCACCAGAGGACAGCGAAGAAACCACTTCAGCACCAGAGGAGAGTGAAGAAAGCGAGAGCGAAGAAAGCACTCCAGCACCAGAGGAGAGTGAAGAAAACGAGAGTGAAGAAAGCACTTCAGCACCCGAGAGCGAGAGTGAAGAAAGCAATAGTAGTGAGGAATAAATGCAGTTGAATATGTTTCTTGCGCATAAGTTTTGCAATATAATGTTAATTAATGATGATAAATATTTAGTCCCTGGTAAACTCTAAAAACCTATTCATTATTTTTTGAGGGTAACGAAACAATCATAAGAAAGAGAATACAAATATCACATCACTTTTACATTTGGTGTTTATGTGTATCTATGTACTTGTCGTTGCTGTACACATTAAAAATATCAAAATAAAGAAGTAATCCCTATGAGTTGTTTCGCGGTGTTCAAGAGTTATTTCGCGCATGGGTGCTGTAAGTTTTTTTTTTAGCAATAGTGCTCTTAACTTACATCTGCTGGTAGTTAAGAAGTTGTAAGCCGGTTCAAGTACACTGATAGATATACTGCAGCATCTTTTCACAAATTTCAAAGCAGTACCTTTACACAGGCCACGACATTCTGTTTATAGAATAGTTATATACAATTCATGATCGACATAGCAAAATTTCTGCATTTGAATGTGTGCCTTTAGTAGTCTCAAAATCAATTTTATATAAAGGTACTACTCAACATTATACCTTATTACAGCTTCAAACTCAGTATGATAATGAATGTCTAGCTAATTTCTTACTGAAAGCCTACTTTAATGTAACTTAGGCTTAGCGTTCAGATGCATGAAATATATAAATTTTCAGGTAATTAATGCAAATGGGATCAAAGTTTTGTGACCTAAAGAACTCAGAACGTAAAGCTGTCTGGCTGTTATGGCTTCTACAAGTTCGGTATTATTATTGTGTCTTTACTGTTGGATTCAAATTTGTATGGAATTGTTAAAAATGAAACTATTAAACAAATAAAATTTTCTAGCATTGTTTTCCGGTAAGGGCTAAAAAATGCCGTTCGTAAAATGGTTAAATATTTAACATCGCTATATTGTGTACAAAGCTTATGTCGCGTCGCATTATATAAACAAGTGTAAACAAAGACCTGGATAACGAAAGAAGCGATAATGATCCATTTCAAGAAATTGTTCAGTCATCTGCCTATAAATACTGAGGAAAACCAGGGAAGACCTAAAGCAGTAGGACCCATTCCTGGCAAAATACACTCTAGAACTCTGCTGAATACAAACAATGAGCTCACATTCTAGGCAAACCAAAATTTAATGTAAGTTATAAGTCCTGTAAAGTCCAGTGGTAACTACACAATCCTTCCCACAGAGTACATTTACGGGTTTCGTATGATTCTCAGAATAAACAGCGACCATTTCCCTAAACGGTATTAACCAAATGATAATGGATACGTGTTGTTCTCTTTGCGGCACGGACTGAAGTCTTAAAAATGTTCAGATAAACTTCGGGCTTCAATATGTTATAATGGCTGACGTTAACTGGCGTTCAAACCTGCAACTACTCGTTATCCAGAGCATAGGTTATGTGGTTTTTATTATAAATAATATGATGATTTTAAAATTTAAATTGAAATGGTAGTGGGTGTAAAATTTAGAGGCCTGTTAAAGGTTCTTCCCTGAGAATTCGCATGGAATGACTGAGAAAAATCGCGGAAGTAGTTGTCTTTATACTCATTTCCATGGCCAAGAATCTGACCAGGTATCATACGGATGAAAGTTTCGTTCTGCAGGACTGACACACATCTGAATCAAGTTTTAAGTGATGCGTCATGTTGTGTGTTGATCGTTAGGATGACAATAGGACTACAAGACAATTCTTGATCATACTTTCAGTATTTCTTAAAAATCCACTACATGTTTTGACATTAACTGTAAACGAACAGATATGACCACACATTATCTGTTGTTGACTTCACCAACTGACGTCCATTACATGGTAAAATGTGTCTTAAGAAGAACATATGATTCGCTCAAATTCCTTATTACTGTTCCCTGTGTTATTTACAATCATATTCAACAAAGAACAATCTTTTATTACTAATTTCTTTAGTCCGAACATTTTCAATCTTCTGTTAAGAGGTGTTAAATTGCCTTAAAAATCACATTTTGTCATCAGCTACTGAGGAAGGGGGGGACATACTGTTTGCTCCAGTAGATCGAGCCGTGTCCACTGATCGGGAATAGATCGATATACCTAATCAAACACGGTATTTGTCACTCTATACACCTAATAATAAATTAAGAAGTTCAACCTTTCGATTGGATGTGATTTTTAAATATGATATAAAAACTTTCAACATACGTGTAAGTCCAATATAAAGAAATTAGTAAATTGGCCTTTAAAAATGATATAAAGTAACAGACATTACTCCACAATGCCCAAAATCCCAACAAGCTGCCAACACTTGCCATTTTTAGTCATTATTTAGGAGAACCTGTGTGGTTTATTTCAGTTTCTCAGAATATATAGCAGTAAATGACATGTTGAGGTTCTTTGGCCAATAAGAAGAGTCAAGAGAATCACAGTAAGTGTCGTGCATCAGTAAAAATTGTCTATCTTTGGCTATTTTCCTTATGATAATGACACAGATCACTCCTGTGTTATAAAACATTACATACAAAACTTTTATCTTCAAAAATAATAAACCTACCTCACTTTAAATTATGACAAAACAATTTTGTTAAATTCTTAACAACAAAAAAACACCCAAATTGAATGTTTAATTAATCTGTTTCTGAAGCAAAAACCTTCAAAGTTTCTTATTCTTCAAAAAAGACTGAAAAAGTCACACACACACATCATACCAAAATTAAGTGTTTTGGAATTAAATCCTTGTTATTTCTTGCTAAAAAAGAACTTTTAAAAACAGCAGCTTCTGTACTTCCACAGGATCATGTCAAATGGTATTTCTGGGAAAATTAATCTCATAGCAAAAAATATTCTATTTGCAAAAGAAAGTCACCAGAATTATGGCAGATCAGAGACGAGAGTCATGTACTGATTTATTAAAGACAACTTATCAATTCATGAAGTAAAAAAAAAAAGATACTATCATCTCTAACAACGAGGTGTTAGCATTAGAGTATAAAATATGTGTACATTATATAAGAAAAAAATTATAAAATCAGCTTCCACTAAAATTAAAAGCATCCCCACTAACAAAAAATGGTAATATTAAAAGGATTCCTTCTCCAAATAATATATAATTTAAATGATAAATGACTTAATCAAATGTATGATTACAATAAATATATACATGCAATAGAAATCTGTATTTACATGTGGTATCTCTTTAAATTTATTTTTTAAGTATTGAACCCAAAATTCTAACTTTACAAGTACTCCAGAGATTAATCTTTTAAATGTGCATATAATCATTCATTTAAAATGTAATACATTATGCTGTACTGTCTATTGGTCTTTATTAATAACTGAATGAAAACTACTTGCTACAGCAGGACAACTTAAAGAGATAAATCTTTATACTTTTAGCAATAAACTCTAATAATCCTTTGATATAATAGTGCAATAATGTATGTGAAAGTGACTAATTCATATGGATCCACAAAACAACATACTGGATAGCTGCACTACAGAATCGGTCACTCAGCGCTTTTGAACAAGTAACAGGTAGTGGCGCTTAGTTAAATATTACGCCATAAAACATACGTGAAAATCCTAATACTGCAGAAAGTTGGATAACAGGCAAGTAATGAATTAGGTTTACTGTGAAGGACGAATGGACACAACCTACATTTCATTATGATGCAAAGGACACAGGTAACAGTTTCAGTAAAATGATAAACAGTGCTGTACTTACCAATTATTACAGGCTACCGTATCTGACGTTTGAAGGACCTCACGTCAGAAAGTTAATTCTTCACCCCTACCTATAAAAAGAAAGACATGAAATAATCTTAGAGTTTTCCAAAATACTGTGTTGTGTGGAACATTATACAAAAGTGAATCCGTGTATCTCTCTCTGAAGAAGGGCCTACCTCAAAATTTATCAAATATTCCCTCCTGTGAACTATCCACATACCCAACATAACCTGCTTGTACTTTCATGCACAGATTTCCATGCCACCTGGTGAATAATTATCGTGCTAGTTTTCGTCTCAGAACAAATGAGAAGTGACGTAGTGCGCGAGATTTCAATTCTCACGTTGACGAGATATAAGAATGCTGTTATATCCTGACATTTTAAGCCCATGAAAAATCGAATGTAAATATGGACTTAATGTAGCGTCTATTTTTTATAGTGAACAGTAACGAAGAGAAATTCAGTGGACAATGTTACGTTCCTTACCATACAACATCTACACACTTTGACGTGTAAAAGCATATCTACTTTTTATTATAAAGAGACTATATATAATAACTGAGTTTGTTATAGTATAAAAGTGGGGTGAATAGGATGTGACTTATGTTACCTGCAATTTGTATTCTGATACCCACTCCATGGAGCACAGTCCTTCTGGAGAAGGTAATAGTACTCTCAGATTGCCAAGAAATTAACCTCAGTTTATGGAACCTGAAGATTCATCAACATGTTCACAAGAGCCCATCACTGGACCGTACTCAAGTAACATGAATCTGTACTCTGATATGCATGTACCTATGACATACCCATTAGGTAATCTCTTCCATGAGCTTCATCCATTGTGTCCTCATCAAAATAACAGCGTGGTTTGACTACCATATTTAAATTGCTATAACATTACAACACAGAAAATCAAAACGTTATGGTGTATTTACTAGGCCTTTTCATATTGCCCTTAAGAGAGAGTTTGAGGTAAGGACAATGAATCTTACTGAGTCAATCTGTACCATGATAATGTAACAGCTGCCAGAGTTAGTGCACAGACACAGCATCAACATTTGCATACCTATGAATGTATTCAAACTGCAGAATTTTACTAACTTTCATGAGATTGGCACTAATACGAGAGATACACAAATTCAGTTAAAATAGGAGTCTATTGTTTTTTTGTTTTACTGCTTGTGAACTGTGTAAGAGGCAAACACATCACAAGACTTAAAATATAAAATGGCATTGCAGATGTGCGGCTGTATCTTCAGTTTATACACATTAATTCATTTTCATAAGGAAATGTACAATTCTCAATTACGAACATTTAAAAACTGGATGTTTCAACAGCTACTGTTGCTAAAAGTAGATTTATTTACTGAATTTCCTGAAATGACTTCATATATAGCAGGTGCAGAAAGATAATTCTGAATGTTACTTTATAAGCATCAAGTTGTTAAACCATCTTACTTAATTTATATTGAACAATTCTCTGCCAACTACAAAAATTTGATTTTGTTGGATGAAACTCATGAAATTGTTAATATGTAGAGAACAACTCGATTTTCAGTACAATATATAATATTACTTAGCGAGAACATCATCTTGGCACATAATTCATAATTATTTAACCAAAAACACAACTTCATTTTTATTGTAAAACTGTTTATTATACAGGAACAATGTAATATGGTACAATACTGCATGTGCACCTTCTGCAGCGAAGAATAGGAAGTTGGCACTAGTCTAAATCAGGCTGCAAGAGTATATGAAAAATGCATGTGTTATTGGAAGTTCAATTTGCATGTTAGGACTAGAGGTATAGGATTACTAAGGTTATGAAAGATACAGGCAGATTTTTGCATCATCAGTTTGTTTTGAAAATAGATATTATTCTAATTTAGGTTAAATTAAATTAATATTTAAATATTATACAATATACTTGTTTGAGATATCTAACTAATTAATAAAAACATAAAATTAGGATTTTCAATTTGTCCTTTAATTTTGTGATCATATGTAGGAAGTCCTCTGACAAGCTCCATAAAGTACAAACATCTTGGGAAGATAATTATGTAGCGGAAGTATTCATCTGTGAGTACTTTTGAACCAAAAACTTTTCTTATTCCACTTCAATGTTATGAAACATTTAACTAAATAATAGAACACATCTTTCAGGAGATTAAAGTATTCAAAGGAAACTAAAATTGCTGTCATGTACAAATGGACGTTAACAGCCAGTGCACAAACACAAAAGAAAGCAAGATTTTCTTCAGTCTGCTTTCTGAACTTAAAAAATTGTCCTTTCCTCTGTAGTAAGACAGACTGAATTAAATAATTCAGCAGTTACAATATGTGATATCAGCTGATCTCTGAATCTGGTGTCATTACAAAAAACATACTAAATCATAAACTTTATCCACAGATAATAATGTAGGAAGAGCATACATACTATATTGTACATGACACCGAGAAACATAAATACATGTGACAGAATTTCAAATTAGTATTAATGATTTTATTGTGTTGTGTTCAGTTTAATTTGTTCACATATTTACCCTTTGTCAAACTGCAAAGTTCCACTGAACAGTGGCAGTGTGTCCTTAATGGTCGCTGTGGCCGAGCCCTACATTAATTTTAGAAATAAAAGAATGTATAGTTGCGTGTTGAAATGGTTGACAGTAACAAATCACATTCTGGACCAATTCAGTGAAACAGCAACAATTTCCTGAAAGATTAACTGAATAGAATTAACCCTGTAACACATTTTGTAATTTTACTGTATTGTAACATCATCAGAACACTTTATTTGGGCAAAGGGTCAACAAACAGAAATTCAATAGTGTCAAGCTAGCATTGCCACCATACAGAACACACTCACACATAAATGTAATAATATGCTCAGAAAATTTCAAACACTTCATTAATCTCTGATATTTTTGGCTGTGAATATGCATGTTTACTCATAACATATTTCATCTATCATATACAAGTTTTCAATTGGAAGAACAATTACAATTTAGTGGCATTCCATGAAGTTTAGTTACTTTCATTTAGTTTGAAGCCGTATTCAGTATCTTTGCTGGAGGAAGTTCACACCCTTTCCCCGCAACCCCACAGAAGAATCCACCAATCTGTTATTTATTTTAAAATTTGTTTTCCCATTTTAAGCTATTCTCGTTAGAGAAAACATACAGTTAATTCTGTACGATAATGAATTTGGATAATTCCAAACTGAATTTACATGTAATGCTCTTCCTACATTAACATTTCATATTTGTTCAACCAATAATAACTTTATATTCACCCATATTTCAACTTGCATATTTTAATTATTCTCTCATTTTACACCAAATTTGATTGTTTACCAAACTCTTATTATTACATTCTGTGCATAACTATAAACACTTTTCACCCTTCTTTTCAGTTCTTCTTCAGCCTACAGCAAGCATTATTTATGTTCTTGAAAAACAGCAACATTTTTGTATGTTTTCAATTTGTACTCATAATTGATATCTCCATTCACTTAACAAGTCATGCATCAAATGACTGAATTGCAATGTTCCTACTCAATTTCTTGTTCTGTATGTCATTTTATCTATCATATCACTCTTAAAAATATCATTTGGACACAGATGGCAAAACAGTATTTGCTGCATTTTTATTAATAACAGATCTCCCTTCCTCTTCGGAGGCACAATTAAACATAATTATAGTGAGTATGACCATACAATGTATTTATAAACAGTACTGATATCTGTCTGCAAATATTATATGTATTATGATGAATATAATTTTGACGTGTCATATATTTATTAACAAGGGCAGTCCCAAGATTATGAGAATTGCTGAGGAAAAATAAAATGGAGGGAGAGGTTGGAGTTAATTTAAGGTATAATTCTGAAATTTGTTTAGATACACAGTAAAACCACACAGAACCTCATTAATCCTTACTGGCCATGCATTTTGGCTTATGTACAATCCAACTTACCATGCATCATACCAGCATACAGTTAAACCATTAATCATGAAGTTAAAATCCAATTGGCAGCCCTGTCATATAGGGATTTAAATTGCCTCTTCCCATAAAATAAATATTAATGTAGGCTGGTCTCATTAGCTCATACATGGACCTTCCAAATGCAAGTCAGATGTCAATGGACATCTTTTGAATTGCATCACAAGGTTTCACAACACATAAGACCACCATGGACATCTTTATTGCCACAAGATCTTCAAATATCAGCATGTTGGCTATACTGTTCAAGAATTAAACTAACTCAGTAACTGACAGTACATATTGTCCCACTATACGCCATGTACGCGCTTGGGGTGAGAGGAGGTATAGCTCCTCTCTACCTTGACCTCGGCACTAGATGGGGGTGAGTGGTCAGCATCACGCCCCGGCCGGCTTTACCCCCGGGAAAGGACCCCGGTACCCATTGTAGAGGAGGCTGGGTGGGCCCCAGAGCCGGTCTGGACGCAGAGGCTAGAGGAAAAATCCTCTGCCCCCGTCGGGGATCGAACCCCGGTCGTCCAGCCCGTAGCTAGTCACTATACTGACTGAGCTATCCTGGCTCATAACTGGCAGTATGTATGTATATATATATAATGAAATATGTTTAAATGATAGAGTCAAGTTACTTATTATAATTGGAAGTTACATATTTGTGCTTAATAATGAATTATTATATTCACCAGAAGAAAATATAAAGTCAAACATACCATTACAAAATGTATCAAGGTTTTGTAAAGAGACTGACTGCTCTTAAAAATTTGCTTTTCATTTTACATATCAATTTAAGAAAGTGTAACTGGCTTCCTAAGTCTGTAAGTTTATATGAAATCTGCTCCAGATTTTGTTTTATACAGTTCAGGTGATCGTATTTCACAGTTAAATTCTGCTAAACCATAAGTCTGTCCACCAGCCCATACTGATATGATAAAGGGTAATTGGGGGAGGGGGGGAGAATGCCCTTGTCATACTTTTCACGCTTTCCTTTAATAATGTCATCTGTTAGTCATGATTTAAAGTTAATAAATTTGGACCATGTACATAGCAACTGAACGCAAGGCATTAGTTTGTAGATTATGTGTTTACGATTATTTTAATTCATATTGCCAATTGCACAATCCCTTTATTTTACAGTTTCACTTGTAAGTCTATAAAAAAAATTTCAACATTCCTCCACTAGTCAATACCTTCTCATAGTATGTCCAAATTGTACATTTTTCTATTCAATAAAATTAACTACAATATTTCTTACAGTTTTCAAGTTACATTTTTCGATGGATGAGTTTGATTTCACGTGTGTACCGCTTGTGTATCTTAGGTCTAATATACAAACTGACAATATTCACCCAGCTGTAGAGTGGAGTTAGGATTTTAGCCACCCGATGAGAGCTGAGCTACCTTCCAGCTTCGTGAATAGTGAGGAACACGCCACCTTACTTAATAAGGATATATGGTGGAAGGACATCTGTGAACTTAATAAGTGGATATGCCCATCTGTTCTGAAAGTTTACAATTAAATCTCTGTGGAAATATGTTCTATCTGTATTTACAGAAATGTGTCAACTTTAGTTTTATTTATCTGCTGTAGTATCAAATTTCTAACAAAGATAAGATAATAAAGCCTTTGTATTGAAATTCTTAATGGAAGAAAGAGCAGTTATTGAAAACATCTCAGTATGTTCCATTTGAACATCTTGAAGACATCTTTTATTATGTATTGTGCTTAATCATGTTGGTTATTTCTAGTAACTTTTACGATCTCCCTTCACACATAAAAGTTTCAAAATGTGGTCCAATCTAACTGTATGCACAAATTTGTCAAAGTACATTTAATAAATGTGTATTTACAACTACACTTTATTCACTACATTTTTGTGTCCATGTGGCCTAAATGCACATACACAGTTACTGAGGGTTTGAATTTGGGTACATACAGCTCAGGAACATAATTTCTTTTAAATTAGACAGATCTAAAATCTTTTGAAAAATTACCTCTCGTAATTTAACTTGTGTGAATATGTCTGTGTACACACTACACGTGGCTAATTGAAATTCAACTATCTGTGGTCCGGCAGTATTATGTAGTCTAGAATACGGTGCTGATTCTTGTTCAAAGTTCAATGGACCACAGAGAGTTAAGATTTCCTCCATTTTAACCATTTTGGCACAAGGAAATCTTTACCAAACAAATTGAGTTGAAATATTTCTCCCTTATTTTTAATCAGCAAGTCTTTAAAGCTAGGATTTAATTTATTTCCTTCTTTCCAAATTCTGCAGAATGTGCAGATATAGCACAGACAGGATTCAGTCTTACATAAGTTGGTGGTTTTGGCTCGGAGTCCTCTTAAACTTCCATATATGTTGTAACTCTTGGAAATGACGAACACATTCCACTTATAGTCTGGTAAAATTCTTTGGACTTTAAAACTTTTAAAACAAATATTTATAGTCTTTTGACATCAGCATTATTAGTTGCAACCTCAGAACATTAAAAATGTTACATCTATAATGATATGAAGTACGCCGATACCAATGCGCATCATGACTGGATCTTACACATACCACTCTTTAATGTCTTTCACATCTCGTTTCTTAGCGGCCTTATTCCCACATTTATCACTACCGTTCTTTATATTTCCATTCATCTGCTGTGGATATTGCTGTCCGTTACCGGCTCCGAGGAGAGCGGTATTAGGTCCTTGTGACTGTTGATAATTTTTGCTCTCGTCAACTTTGTATGAACCATCTGATCTATTCTTAAATTTAAGGATGATGAGGATGATAAGAATAATAGCGATCATAGCTCCGGCTATGATGCCAATGATCAGTGCTGTATTCTCAGCTGCCTCTGATGAGATACGATCGCGATTCTTGCGGTTAGGCTGTCGTGGCGTAGGTAACGGTATAGGAGGTAATGGTAGTTCAGTGCTGGTGGTGGAAGAAGTGCTACTGGTGTCCAGGCTGCTACCTGTAGTTGATGGAGGCCTGCTGCTTGTGTTGTCAGTACTGCTGTATCCACTTACAGATGAAGGAGGAATATCTGATGTACTGGAGTATGGAATTGTGCTGCTGTGAGATGACGATACTGTGAAGTAAGTAACATTGTCCCCTTATGCTTAGCATACCATATGAGAGGTTCTCAACATAACATGCAATACAAGAATTTGAATTATACTTCATAAATATGTTTGTCCTATTTAAAGAATTATACAGACGTTTGTTATTGAAATGAGCATGCATCAAACTACATCCTGGACTGAAGACTTTAATGTTTTGCAATTAAAATTGCAGGAAGCAAAAAGAATATATTTCCTTTATATAAATATGGGCTCTTAGATGATATGCAGAATGCAGATCAATTTAAAAGGAAAACTGTCAACATTTTTAGAATGGAACAGTACGAGGATAAGCAAAAGGTTGTATTTTAAAAAGAAAGTAATAAAATGTCCTAAAAGTTAGCAATTTGCATTGATATAAGGTGTCTCCATTTCTGAGAAATTTTAAAATTCAATGAACAATTTAAGTTATTTCATTTAACAGCTATGTATGTTATGTACATAATTTCAAATGTTCCATATTAATATTTTGTGAAGTCTGAACTCACTTATTAACATATCTTAATTACTCTATCAGATCAATATAAATCATCCACTGTTTTGAACAAAGAAGAACGGACACTCCATCTGAGAACAAAGCAAGACTATTCTGAATTACATTCATATGACGTAATATTTAAATCTTAATATGTGTTTGTGCCACATTAACTTTCATTAGATTTTAAATAAAATATACTTAAAATAAATAACTATATTACTCATAACCAAACAAACAAAAGCAAATCAATGCAAATAGAGAGTTCTGTTACGCTGTGAATTCAAAAGTATCACTGGAAAGCTATTCACACATTACCATGAGTCAGGAAATGTTATTGCTCACATTTTGTTAAATATTCACTATATAAAAAAAAAATTAAAATAAAATTTCTAGATTTTAATGAGGCATGTTACGTATAATCATTTTATGAACAATGAATAATGTATAACACACAGTTTATATTTGACTGTTATGAACAAATATTAAATTTTCTCAACAATTTTTTCAGTGTATGTTCACAGTACTCAATTTAATGAAAACTGTGTTTATTTTATAGACCACGCAAAGAACACACAATAACTACAAAACCTTTTCTCTATTTTAATTTAAAACTGTTTGTTTGTATAGGAAAAACATTGTATTGTACAATACTACATCTGTGCCTTCTGCAGTCCAGAGTAGAAGGCTGGTGCTATTCTAAGCCAGGAAAATAAGCATTCATAACAAATTAAGACAATGCATGTGAGTGTAATGAGCGAGGTTAAGGGCATTTATGGAGATGTGATGGGAAGTAATGTGCCGGTCAGGCAGCTTACTTTTATCACACAGAGTTCTTCCTGAAACTTATTATTAGAAAGGACTACAAATCTGAGATGCACAGATATTAGTTGTCTAAGTTCTGTGCTTCCTACTGATGACTTTGTTGTTATAACCAATTTATGTGAATAATTTTTCTTCTGTAAGACACTATTAACCAGACTGGCATTCAGATACCCAAGAATACGGGATTTAAAATTCCCTTACTACAGGGATGCTAGACATTAACTCGGGAGTTAACAGTTAGTGGTATGCTAGTGTGATGCACAGGAAGCCAGACTGCACGATAAAATTGTGAGCGCATATTTCCGAGCTGACGACTCTTTACTTACATTAGTTTTGATGTGTTATTATTAACTTTTTTCATTATATGCATGAAGACTTCTGTTTACAGTTTAAATTTATTTTAAACATCATACTTTACCTCACTAAGATATTAAATATCAACTTATCTCACACAGTAATAATCATCCTGTAGATCCCAACATTATAATATTTTGATTTGAAGTGAAACTTGTCGTCACACTTAAGTTATTTCCATATTTATGAATTTCAATACAAAACTGAATCTCTTATTAAACTGTAGGTCAATAAACATTTTTTTTTAATTTTTCTTTTCTTTTCTTTCAGAAAACTCAAATGATGGTTATTTTAAGTATGGTGTTTCGATGTAGTGACGAAGAAAAAGTATTTTTAACTTTTGATTACTATGATTAGGATGATCAAATCAAGGAGGATTAGTTGTACATGGGGGAGTTGATAAATGCATACAAAATTTTTGTTAAAAAGCTTGAAGGGAAGAGACCACTCAGAGCAACTAGGCACAAACAGAGGATAATATTAAATGGGAACTTGGTACAATCTGGTTGAAAGGTGCAGATTGGACTAATCTGGCTCAGGACAAAGATTGGTAGCAGGCTCTTGTGAACATGATAACAAACCTTTGGGTTCCATGGATGGCAGGGAATTTCTTGAAAAACTGAGCTTACTATTAGCTTCTAAAGAGGAACTCTGCTCTATGGAGTGAATCAGTTAAGAAGTTAATATAACCTGTAACTTTATGCATGTAATTATAATGATAATGGCAGTTGTGTAAACACATGTACTTAAAAGACAGCTTATGAATTATCATCATGTAAAGTCACCCGTCTTTCCCCATCACTTGTCAGTGGCGATAAGGAGTCCAAACTTCACTAGATATACATAAAACATAATTTTGTATAATATTTTCATATTTCTTGGATATTTTTGCTTTAAAATTCCTTTCCTTTCCTTTCTTTTGATTTTCTGAGCCTTATAGATGACAATTTGACTCCATTCGGACACAAATATATGAAGATGTTTCTATTTTCTTATTCATAAAACTAATGACAATAACAAGAACAATAAACAATGTAGCAAACATGCACATTCTATGAAATGAGATCATTTTATAGTTCTCTTGATTCAATGTCTGCTATTTTATAGTGATAACATTTTAAGCACCTTAAAATGTCTTGAATGTGAAAGGGCAATGGTATGACCTTGACACATCACATTTCAAGTGTCTCATTAAAATCTCACTTTAAAAATATGAACCTTCTGTCTTTTTGAACATGTGACAATGTTCCAGTCATATGATTGGTGATAATAATTTTATTTTGTTGAATATGATAAAAGAAATTAAGAATTCTCTGCATTTACTATAGACATCATGTCATTTTCTTGGAGTAAGTAAAATATATTAGAATTATTTCTTCTTTTGCTTTCAGATTCTACAACTGATACTGGAACATAACACATTCCCAACAGATTATATAAATTTGCAATGTTGTTGAACTTCCAAATGGACTGCAATCTTGAATGATGATCTGGCTTCTTTTGTTTTTCAGTAATTTGTGAACCTCTGAATGAACTCTATTATGACAGATTTTTTCTTGTCTGTAAGTATAATATGACATTTTAATAAATATCATGCTATTAAAAGTGTGTACTAAGATTACGTGACAAAGAATGTGTTGAAGTTGATAGAGTACAGTATACAAAATGTCTGCTGACATCTTTTCTGTTTGATTCATAGAAAATTCTGAATTAAATAAATTAGCACAACAATTAAAAATGTGTACAAGATGAAGCATCTTTCATTATAATAAGAAATCTGATATGTGTATTTGTGGCAGTTAATATGAACCTGAACAATTTCTCTGAAATATTACATTCTGTGAAAGAAAGTCTGAAACATTAAATGAGCTTTGGAAAGCTGCTGATTGGAAATGTCAATTAAGACCACAATCAAAGAGCTATCATTCTGAGTAGTGGCTGGTTGCACTAAGATAACAATTGTTCATTAAAATGTTTGTAACCAAGACCTGACCACATCATTACCAATGATTATTACAGTTAAAGTATCAAGATATGTGGAAGGTTGCCAACTTATTTAAATTTTTGTTCAGGATTCATGGAATAAACCACATTGCATTTTAATTTATTATGAAATGTAACCACATCCTACACTGTAACTACAATACATATATCATTGTTTCATAATTATTTTGATCTCATTTTTTTAGGATTCTCTGAATATTACAAACCATAAATTCAGTTCTGTTGTTTTTTGTGCATGTACAAAGAGTCACTCTATCTGAAATTATGAATGTTTGCTTCCTATTCAGAAAGCCCATCGATTAACAGATATTAGGTGTTTATTTCTTCAGGACAATGTTGAAATATAATCCTATTCACAACTCATAAAATTCCAGTATCCATCACTAATTATACACCTTAAAAAAAGTTAATTCTGAAGTACATGCTCCCCAGGCCAAAGCACTCTACACTTACAAATATATCCACAATAAGTAAAAAGCTTGTTATAGGTGTGGTTTTGATATAGCTTTCTTCTCGCTCACGTGGAAGAATGAGAAAACTAATTAAGCATATTTGATGTTTCATTATTTGGATAGCTACATGGACATATGGATTACCACTGCAGAAAGCTTTCTGGGGTATGGAGAAATCTTTTCCTCTTTCCACATTCCAGTTGAATTATATGTAACATCAAAATACTTGCGGTACTGAACTACAGTACAGGTATTACTGAAAGCTAGGGAACATGTCATAACTTCAACACCAAGAGAGAAATAAAATCTCAGTACACGTGTGACCAAGTGAGTTGGCAACTCTTTTTTTTATGAACGCTTTATCAGTCCTCTAACAGTAATTTTGCACAAATGAAATCAATTTCAATTTTGGAACAAAACCAGATGTTTGATAACATTACCAAAAGTAATCATTCAATATATATGATCACTTTATGCAGACCAGCCAATATAACTTAACTGTTTTTTTTTATAATTTTACGATACTGAGAAACAGAATTCAGTCTTACATAATTTGGTAGTTGGCTCGGAGTTCTCTTTAATGCCACATAGTTTCTGAAAACTGCACTAAATGATGTACATAAGTCACACATTTCAATTTCATTCAGTTACGTACTTTGAAGTTGTATCCCCCTCCTCCCCCCTACCAGTACTACAGCCTCAAAACATTAAAAATGTAACATTTATACTGATATGAATTTTCTGATATTGATGTCCTTTGTATATGATTGTTACACATACCACTCTTTAACATCCTTGACATCACATTTCTTAACGGATTTATTCCCACACTTTTCACTATCATTCTTCAGGTTTCCGTTCATCTGCTGCGGATGCTGCTGTCTATAACCTACTCCGAGGAGAGCAGCATTAGGTCCTTGAGATTTCTGATAATTCTTACTCTCATCAACTTTGTACGAACTATCTGATCGACTCTTAAATTTAAGGATGATGAGGATGATAAGAATTATAGCAATCATAGCTCCTGCTATTATGCCAATGATGAGAGCTGTTTTTTCAGCTGCCTCAGAGGTGATGAGTTCTTGGTCTTTGCGCCTAGGTGGTCTTGGTGTAAGAGGAATTATCGCAGGTGGCATCGGTAGTTCCGTGCTGGTGGTGGAAGTGCTACTTGTGCCAGGACCGCTACCCGTTGTCGATGACGACCTACTGCCGATGTTGTCCGCCGTGCTGTAGCCACTTGTGGATGAGGGTGACATACTTTGACCAGTACTGGAATCACCACCAGGTACTAATCCAGAAGGAATTTCTGATGTACCAGAATCTGTTGAATCTTGATTTGAAGTTCCGTCTGGGACTGTGCTGCTATGTTGTGATGATACTGTGGACCAAGTACTTTTGTTCCCTTATGCAGTACTTTAAAAAGTGACGTTATATGAATCATTAGCAGATGACTGAGTTAAACTGTCTATATTCAACCCCTCTCAGAAGATAATATAAGTAGAAACAACATAACTTTATGTAAGTCCAATTCGCAGGAGAAGGAAGTACAAAACAAGTGGAGTAAGACAGACGTAGGAACATGTAAATATTAAATATGTGAGCAAAAATTTAGTTTTAAGTTCACAGTTGTATTTAACATAATTCTGGAGCATTAAAAAAATAGCATTTCCCAGACATAATCAGGATGTATGATAGGGAGGTCGTGGAAAAATAAAATGCTGATAAACATAGATATTTTTTTAGAACTTATTTTAAGCAGACAGACTTTCCTATCATATATGTGGAAAGCTATAAAATTTATTGGGGAAAACCCCAGATGAAATGTATATTTTCGTCATGGAGCTTAGCATTATGAAATATTTCTATCTGTCTTCCTTTAAGCTAAGTTTCAGTTCATAACTGATGAAATATATTCTTTCTGCTCCTATAACATTAACAAACTGATCATCTTGCACAACATGCCAGTATTTATACCACGATACAGTAAACCTGAAGTGAATGTCTCTAAGCTGTTATTTTATTAAAATTAGCCGGCATCAGCAAGCACTACTAAAAATGTCCGTGCAGTTATTATCCTTACTAGTATAGCAGTTCTAATCTTTAACAAGTAACATGTTATAGATACACTTCATATTTAATACCTCACATGGGCCTGATTAAGAAAAAACTGTTTCGATAACCAACTTTGAATATTGATTACAGATTAGAGACCCAAGAGGTACATTTGAATGAAAACCTTATAGGTGGGATTTTGATTTATATGGTTTCTATTTCTGACACATCAGTAAAATAATTAAGCATAATACTTGAGAGTAATTTAAGGCAGCTAACGTAAGTCCTCGCATGCTGAGATTCTTTCTCCGTGACTCTGTGATATTAAAACACTTCAGTCATTCCTATACAGTTTGATGTCACACACGTTTCTTACAAAGATGGACCATCAAGATTCATTCCAAGAGCCAATTTTAGTGTCCAAAGTTAAAAAGTGTCAACAAAACAAAAATTATAATAATAATATGAATGAACTTCAATCTTTTTAACAGGAGATTTTGTGTGGCTTACAGGTTGTTAAAAATTGTTTCTCATAATATAATTTATACACAATAAAAGTTTCTCAGCAAAGGAATATTTTAGCAAACACAATCTACTTACATCCTAAAATTGACACAAATACCCACAAATTGTTATTTTGCGTTGCTGCATTCCATACCAGTGTGTAATTTTCCTGAGGATCATGTTCCATTCGGTTGTATCCTCACAGTGGGCGGGTTGTATGTAGTTAAGCTTACCCTTTTCTGGAGTTCCTGTATTGTTATCCTCTGTGGTGATCTCACCTGACCCAGAGCCTGTCACGCAGTCCTCGTCATCACACTGAGTACTAGGTGTCACCTTAGAAGTCGTGGTTGGAGGTCTTGTGGGAGGAACATATACTGGTGTAATAAGATCATCTCCTGTACACAGGCAACAATAATCAATCGTAGGTAAGAAAATTCTTACTCGATGTTTAAACACAAAGTTAATCAACTGGCATTCTTTGACAAATATAACATTCTAGGTGCGCTGAATTTAAATACTGTTTTCATATTTTTTCAGTACTAAAATAAAGATGGTAAATGTATAAAGAATCACCTCTTATGAAGATTTCCTTCTTCTGGGTTGTTGCGCTGTGTAGTCTGGTCGATGTTAACCAACGTTTCAGAGGTCATACTGCCTCCGTCACCAGGGCGATGAATCGCAACAACCCAGAAGACAGAAATCTTCAAATTCACTGCTGCGAAAACCTCAAATCTTACAATCACCTCTTAGTTACATTCTTTCTAATGTATTTGATTCTGAATTGGTTTTATGTAGAGATGCGTCAAGATCATTTCAAAGAGTTCATAAATTAAATGGGAAGAAACACATCATAATGGGATAAAATAAATATTATGTTTTCCTGAAACCATTGTTTGTTATTTACTGATTAAGTTACTTATTTCATAAATTACTTAAACTGATGAATTTAAATGAAGCGTACAGGACAGGGTTAAATGTTGCAGCTGCAGGGTACTGAATGATATGTGAAATATACTGGGTATATTTACCTGATCCACTCTCAAATACTGGAGTACACTCATCTTCATCATCTGCATTGCAACCTGAACCAGCTCCTGAGAAGACCAAGTCATCTTCTACACCAGGTAAACCTGATGGTGGTGTCTAAAGAAAGCAAAAAGTGACATATTTTAGGATTTGTATAATTATTTTGCCAGGAAAGTAATTAAATATCAGGGAATGCAGGTAATAACTTCAGAAATATTCTATAGCCTCCAAAATGCCAAACTATTGTAAAACTGACAACCCATACTTTTTCCACTCGTGTGGCATGCCGTACATCCTAAGTACCTTTAGTTGATTCTATTTTCCATATTCAGATGGAATAAGTATGAGTCTCTCAAGTCCATGGTTAATTATGTTCAGATTGCTATAAATCAGAAATTATTTACATCTCCTCTAACACTGAATATAATTTATTTATATACATTAATTATAAGGAAAGCCTAGAAACAGCAGGGTGCCCTGATGATGGAGGTAGCGAGGACCTCTGAAACATCGGTAAACTTCTAGCAGATTACATGGCGCAACAACCCAGAAGACAGCCATCTTCAAATTCACTGCTGCGATAACCTCAAATCGTGTTTGAATAAGTCAGATAGCCCCCCATAAGACAATTTTATTTGTGTGAGATATTAAGATTCTTTTAGTGCTACGCTGAATGGGAATTTAATGCGTATGTCCGTGTACTTTGACTGAGGAGGATTAATTTTTCAATACAGTCTGTGGTGTATGAATATCCAGGTGCATGTAAAGTGGCATCTGAAATACAGTCCTTTTTTTCCTGCTATTTTCTAACATGAAATACTGCACGGTCTTCATAAAGTAGTACAGAATTTGCATTTGCTACAAATAATAAAACTAACCTGCTGCATACGCTGCAGGGGCTCGTGCTGTCGATCTCTTATTCCTGTCATAAGCTGAACATCGCCTCTCACTGATATATGCCCATTCTTCTCTGATGCAAGATCCAGTAACCTCAGCCCATTAAATACCAGACCTGCCATGACACCAGAAAATGGCCTTTCCACCCGTTGTTTGGCGTCATTCCACTTTCCCCCAATTTGAATTTGAGCTTGACTGTTGAACACGGACAGCTGGTGACCTGCAATATTGAAAAGTGATGTCTTAGCCTTGTTTCTTTATAACTTACACGTAATTTTGAGGTTAATTTTGTATTTAGAATATGAGTTCTCTAGTTATTACCTGTTGGATGATTGGTCTGAACATTATAATCATCAACCTGGATTGTTGAATTGGCACCTGAACGTGTAAACTGTATAACATGATATGCATTGTCATTGACTTTGACTCCAACTTCACCTATTGGATGGTCATTTGTGCCCATGTTATACACCATGAAGATATTCCCTTCCACCTAAAACAGAGATGTGAAACTTGACGTATAACAGCATGAGTAAACTTATAACGATAAAATAACTTTTCTAAAAAAAATTCCACTATACAGTGTCCATATAGCCATTATTCAGGGTTTTTTTTTAATTTGTATGTGTGCTGGAATTCTGATTAATGAATGTGGTAGATGAAGTAATTAGAAATTTATAATTTATGCTTACTTAAAAATTCTGGAAAATTGCAGCTCTGCTTTTAGGGAACGTAGAAATGTGAAACTTTGTACCAAATGACACACGTCCAAACGGCAGTTCACTTTCTACAATTTCTACAAAGCATGTCCTCATCCACTCTCCATATACTTCATGCAATCTAAATCCATAAAGTACTGGTGATACTTTGCATAGGAGACAAGTATATAATGTCCCTGAATCACCATGATGAGAAGTATGAAGGCGTAAGCCACAGTAATGGTCATACAAGAACTTGTGATTAATAGAATAATTAACATTTATATATACTCGTTTCATCATCATACTCACTATTTCTAGTTCCATATAATCATTGGATGTGCCGCTGTCAATCCGGAGCAGAATTGCATCTTCTTTGTTCGTAATAAAACCCAATGCGATGACATCACTTTTCATCTCTGGCCTTCTGTCTTCAGCATAAGTATAAGTGATGAGACCTCGTCGTGGACCAAACTCATAAGCTGTTGATTCTAAAATGGAAAGATACAGCATGTATTTATGAAATGTATTTGAAACAGGACATAGTGTTTAATATAAAGTTTAATACAATTGTCACTTTTCTTAACCTATGTTAGAGCAGTTCCGGCTCGGGGCTAGGAAGTCGTAGCTGTGTTCAACTTTAACGGCGAATGCACTTCAGTTAAAAGTAGTCAGGTAAAAATTAAGCTATTGAGAATAGTTTTTCTTTTAATGTATTTACCATCTGAGCAAGTAGGTCCAGTGTATGAAGTCATATCACAGTCACATGCGTATGAATTCCACTGCTGCACGCACACTCCACGATTAGCACAGATGTTATGACTGCACTTTGTGCTGGGCCCTGCGAAAGTCAGAGTAACTAATAGCATGGATTTATTTACACTTTTTTTTGTTGTTATTCATAGACCTTGCACTATTTTTGTGTGCCAAGTATTATAACAGTTGTCTAAATTTTACTAATTAATTATAGAGATATAAAATTTAAGATGAAGGATAACATTTAATATCAAATGTAACAATATAATTATATATAAAATTAAATATTTCATTTCAAATAAAGTGTTGCAATTTGATACAGAGAAAATATCTGAACTGAAAGCTGTCTCAGTTTGTTACCTTCGCATCCAGAAGTTAGTTGAGAACTTGGAACTACAGCATCCACCATTAGATTAGGAGATTCTCCATTGAGGTCAAGACTGGCTAAACAGCCCTCGTATCCTTGACGAGACTGTATTTGTTTTGGCAAGAATGAATACATATCTTTCTGAACACCACCTAAAAATCACACAAGACTGAAATAAACTTAAAGAAATTAGGATATAACATCCACAATAAATCACATGAAACTTCACCCAGGCATTCTTAAGTTATTACACGTTCCTTTGCCAAACAGCGCATTTTAACATTATATGCATACTTTTATACACAATTATTATTTCACTGAAATGTTTTCTGTAACTGCCCTAATGTAATGAGTGTGTGTGTGTGTGCATTATCAGTGGGATCCGCAGTGGCCGCGCGGTCTGAGGCGTGGGCCTTGTGCCGCTCGGTCGCTGGGACCCTGGGTTCGAATCCCACTCAAGCCATGAATGTTTTTCTGTGTTGTGCTGTCCTGTGTACAGGTAGAGGCCTTGAGACGGGCCGATCCCTCGTCCAAGGAGTCCTATCGAATGTCCATAAATCAAGCCAACGGAAAGTTGGGACCCGCAGTGCTCAGGCACTTGAAGAACGGGTCGTTCCCAGTACCGCAGTGTGTATTATCAGTAGCAGGAAATTGTTGCACTTCTCCTAATGGCTAATTCCGAAATCATGTAATGGGACACGGCCAATATCATAATATCAGCGTAAAGAACATAAACGTCCTATTGACGGAGAATCGGTATCTCCTGAAAGTTCTAAAGTTGTGCTTCTGTTGATACAAGCAAGATACGATGACAAACAGTGCCAACAGAGAAATATTGCGAAAACAAACTCGGTTGTAGCCGTGGATTCATATGAAGAGGAGGCAGCTAACAAAAGTTGAACCACTGCTACCAACTCAAGCATCAAGGACACGCTTCTCGGAAACATGATTCCAGACCATACGGTCCCATCAGTTTATGCGTATTTGTTCTTGCAAAAAGAGTACAACAGGATGTGAAAATGTACGTGCATTCAGAAGACGTAGAATGAAAATCATATGACACCATGCAAATACAAGATACATAAATGTGAATATACCTATGTGACACAATTTTGAAAACTGTATTATAATATTGGTACTGACCTAGGTACAGAATTCCAGCCAGATCTAGATTTTCATTGGTACCCAAGCTTGTCACAATTGCAAAGTTGTCATCCACCATGAGGGTATGTTGCTTGGGGCTCGGTCTGCCTATCGTAACGGCGTGCCATCGATTGTCATTCAGACTACTTCTGGCATTATCGCGGACTCTCACGGGTCCATCTCCCAGGTTGAAGATGTAGTGGAGGTGCCCATTGACTAATTCGACGGCTAAGAAATCTTGTTCCCTTCCGGCATTATACAATATTAGTCCGCTCGGTTCACGGGTCTTAAACTGGAAGTAGATATTAGTAGCAGAATAGGCTTTAAGGACAGGAAGACCCACAAATGTGTGTTTGGAACGGAAAGTGACTGGATGATGCACTAGTTGATGATCGCGTTTGCCAAATTTGGCGGTGACGCGCAACTGCGGAGCAGATCCTGGTGCGTGTTGACCGCCATAACCTCCGCCTGAAGATCTAGCCATCTCAAAATACAGATGACCATTAAACGAGAACTGCTGCATGGATCCGACAAAGTTGGGGACAGTGTTTGTCATCTGAATCTCCTCTTCGGCGTGGAAGAGTCCGCCGACGTGCATGGTCCGAAATTCCAGGATATTCTGCTTCCCGAACACAGCGTCCGCTACAAACAGAAAGATCAGTGCATTGCATTAATGACTTTCTAAATGTTTATAATTAAATGCAATATATTAATAAATCCATGAGCATTTTATCACAATTGTATTCTTTTAATGTGAAAATAATTGTTTTTAAGTGACAATGGTGTGAATTTAAGGTAATAAAAGAATTGTGATAAAGGAATGATGAATTGATTCTTACAGTGCACTTATTCAAGGAACACCTCAGAAATGTTACAATTCGAGGCAAAAATTATGACAATGTTAAGACTAAAATGGAAGAAGTTCAGTTCATTGCACGAGGAACTTTGTCATCAAAGACTGTCAAAATGCCACCTTTCTAAAGCGGCCCATCCACGTACGAGTCTGACATGCGAGCTTGACTCGTGAGCCGGGCTCGGATATATTTCACCGCGCATGCGTAGCAGACTCGGTTCGTGATACCCCGCCCACAAACGAGTTTCGCTCGAAGAAATCCGAGCCGAGCCGGACTCGTACGTGGATGGGCCGCTTAAGAGACACTCACCTCTGAGTGGGCTGTCATCATCCACCTGCAGTTTGAGACTACTGCCACGCCGAGAAAATCTTAAAGTATGCCACTGGTTATTGTTGAGGCCTTGTCCTGCTATCAGTACCTGAGGAAATACACAAAAGAATACATGATATATATGTAATGCATGGAGACAGGCATTGAAGATCTGCAAAACTAATAGCAGAAATTAGAAGTGTCCACAAAATTTTCTTGTTGAAAAACACGAAGGGGCAACTTAAGAAAATCGTGGTAGCAACTGCATTAGACGTGCAAGAATTTGTCTCTCGTACTCATAAGGCACCTTAAATTTTGAAACTTTCTCGCGTGTTTTATTTTAATTCTCATTATGGCTTGGAGATGGTCATAGCCTATCTTAAAGCATTTTCCGGAAGATACTAACAAAAGCGACGATAATCTGAGGCTTGCCTTTCGTTTCTTGTCTTCTGGATTCTGACACCGTCTGATCATGTTACCACCGTTCCGGGGGAGTGTATCTCCGCCATCTTCTGAGTACAGTACCTGAAGATGGAGGCGACACGTTCCTCCTAAAGTTTTGTAACCGCCTACAAAAACAAACCCCGAAGACTGACGTTGACATCTTCACTATAAAACCTCAAATCTCGGGTTATTCGAATAAAAGTCTTATGCGTTACTGCTTAGTTGTAATTTCGTAAGGTTTCAAAAAGTGACGTAGGTCTACCTTCTCACGGTCGCCCAGTCTGGCCAAGAGACGAAGCCTGCCACCCATCAGGGCGAGTTCCAGTCTGTCGGCTGACTGCTCCGTGTTGGTGGTGAGTAGAAGCCCCAGCGGCCTCGTAGTTCGGAATCGGAGGACGACGTCTTCAGTCTGCGTGCGGAACTCGTCCGGCATTGTGATCAGAACGTGCTGTGAGCCGTTGAACGTCAGCGTTGTCGAGTCTGCCACCAAGATACTTTCTGTTATAATCCCTTTGAAGCCGAAGTTATTCTAAACTGTATTTAAGAATTCAGTCCGTACCGAAAAGAAAACACAACGCTCCACCATTACAAATATCGACTGGTTAATGTAGTCTAAAATCTTGACACTGGCCACAATCCTGAGCCATACGACGAATGCAATCCACGCTCTCACCCGTTTTCTTAAAATTACACTTTAATATTATTCTTCAATATACGCGTAGTTATTAGTTGTCTTCAGGTTTCCCAATTAAAATTTTGTACGCATTTACATCACTTCCTAATAGCGAAGACAGTCTTCAGAGAGTCGGATGTTTACTTCGAAACGACGTAGCTTATCGTACGAAAATAATTATATATTATTATTTATCTTTGTAGTTCATAAATCAGAGTCACGATACTGGAAAGAAAAAAAACTGTATACTGCGCCCAGCTTCCATGTTGTTATAATTAATTTACTTTTGAAAAAAAAAAAACATAAATTCTGCAGCACTTTACAATATTTGAACTACAAACACTTCTGTGCTCAACCAATAACAGAAAAGGATATAATACACTTTGACTGTATCCATTTATTCCTGCGTCAAAGGAATTTCTATTATCGTTTCTTGACAAGAGGAACGTGGCATGGTTAATGATTCCCGAACAAACAGTGTCGGAAGATAGAAGTCGTATATCATGGCCAAAGTAACACGCAACACAAATTAAACCTTTTTGTGTTACTTTCTTTGAAGTTTTCCATTTCAAAATTACATACGCTATTGAATTTTGTTGATTATTCTTCCAAACTCGTACTTCAAGACGAAAGTTTATTCATAGGGTGGATTTAAGACTATTTAGAATAAATACAACTGCAATACAATATTTATACTACATTAAATTATTAAATATTTGACACGTAAGATAGAGAAAGATATTAACAAGATACAGAAATTGCGTAATGAAAAAATGTTTAGTACACTATTTAATACATTATTATTCACGATAATCCTGTAAGTAAAACAAATTATGTGTGTATGTATATTCGCTTATATCCCGAGAACGGATATACCAATTTGCACCAAACCTCGCATGAAATAATAAAGACTAAGTATAACAAATTCTTCTCGGGCTACCGGACGTTTAAGGTGGCTGAACGGCTGGGAGCCCGAGAAGAATTTATTATAAACATGGCTCACCTTTCCCGCACGTGGGCCCCGTGAAGCTGGTGGCACTGCAGTCGCAGATGAACCTGTTCCAACCCTCAGTGCACAACCCCCCGTTCATGCAGGGCTGGGAGTCACACTGCGGCAACTGAACGTGACAAGATGGCCGGATTGCGCCTGCGATTGAAAACAAAATGTCCGTCACCTTCTCGAAGGCGAGCATTTTGTCTTATTCGCGACTTACCCACTGCGCCCTGTTAAGTGATTAAACGATTTCGACGTAAAAGAATGTTCGAGAATGGGCACACGTTCTGTTTGTGAACAAACCATGTTTGCTCCTTACGCAACTCGTGTGAGTGGCGGCCTAGCAACAAGGGTGACCTTGACTGTAGGTTGGGAGAATCTATTACGAAGTGATGGAGCTGATTCTACATTAGTATATGATTATTTCTGGGTGTCGTTTTAAATGGTACACCACGAATAAATAAAAATATAATTTGACTCTATTAGCTTTAAAATAGCATGGAAATAAACAGACTGTAACGCGGTACATAGCTCGGAGATACTGTGCGCAAAATTAGAGCACCACTAATACGGATCACCGACTCCGGAAACTAACACAAAGTCACAAATATTAAGAGAAATGCACTGTAATTTATTAATTCGCTCGGACGACGTATACAATCATTTTAAAACACCCTCAGGGTGAACATTACGTCAAAGCTCCGATAACATCGAGGCTGTGGAACTTTCGGATAAATTCTAATGTAGCAAATAACTCACTCATACACCCCGTAATTTTTAAAGTTGCAATACGAAAGTCCGAATGTACATTTCCTTCTGATGGATGAGACGATGACAGCAATGGAAGCCGCATCGTATTTCTCACCAGTTTATTTACACAAGCGAGCAACTTCTTGGACGTGACCCTTAGACTTCTCTCTCTCCACCTATAAATTACCCGCTCACTGTTTGCCACACCTTCTCCTTCGTGTAATCACATAACCTCCCTTATGTCTATACTACAGCGGGTTGCATCTGACAGGAAATACGTCATCCTTCAGCCATGCATAACGAAGTTTGCAAGTCCTGACTTTGATGAACTTTGTATGCTACAATATGACGTATATCCTATCTGTATTTATGCCTCTGAGAGACACGAGTGTTTATTCTGGGATTTTAAACACTCCTAGACTTCGCTTCACACAGATCAGAATTAACCCTTTAAACGCGAAGCTCGGCAAATCGTATTTAAGAATCCAGTCCGTACCGCTAAGAAAACACAACACTTCACCATTACAAAGATCGACTGGTTAACGCTGTTTAAGAAAATTCAAGTTATTAATTATTTAAATGTAGTTACCACTGGGCTATAAATGCTCAATAGTCATTCATGTTTTCACGAACGAAATGACCAGGTTCCTGACTTAATCCGCTGTAGTCACCAAGTCTCTGTTAAAGATGATCTATAACCTGTCCAAGACGTAATGATCAATTTTGCATAATCGAGTAAGTCCTTAGCCACACCCGGTCGTTTTCCATACATTATAAATCAATGGAGTAATTTATCCACGTTTGTTAAGCGCATTAAAATAATAGATTATTTAAAAAGTATGTTTACTTCTACGGATTTCGTGATTATTTACGTCACGACGCTGCAACCCAGAATTCAACCATCTTTGAGGTTTTACTGAAAGTCTGTTCTTATGATACGCATGCGCGGATACATGTTCGACATCGTCTACTGTCTTAATTCTATTTAATGTACAACCATTTCTAGGGCAACTCCGTCTAGTATTCTATAAATTCAGGGTTCAATCCTAACCGGTGTTAATATAACAACCATCAACATGAAGACGGGAGTAGAGCCAAGTACCGAAACGTCGTGTGTATAAAATTTACCTCAGACAATGGACAATTTATAGCATAGTGCTTCTATTAGGGAGTGGAATAATCTGGCTCAGGATAGGTTCATGAGACGCTATGTGGGGAGTGTAATATAGATCAGAGATAATTTTTACATTTCCCCAGAAGCCCAATCGCGTATACACACAACGCAAAATATCAGGTCCGGACGAATAATCCATAAAAGATGGCGAAGGATAAAAGTCTAAGTGGGGAAATGAAGTAATGCAGAATTAAGATATCTGAGTTGTCAGTTTGGCTTGTTATATTAACCCTTGGAATGATTAACGCGAAACTTTTCGCAAGCGTGACGGGTTCTGTTAGTTATGAGACAGTGAGCACAATCCTATTTTAGAGATCTCTACTTTATTCAGGTCGTTCAACACAGTTACGACCGAAGGCCTAAAATTTAATACAGACCAACCTTAATTGTCTTTATAAAATAGTAAATTACTGAACCACGTCTTATTTTTCTACGCAACATCGTCAAATTTAAATAAATATCATCTAAGGGTCCACAATGTTCCTGATTCGGTCACAAGAAATTACACTACATCGATCCTTAGGCCACTCTTGCTTTATTTCAGAACTGATGTTCATTTCAGATGTAATTCCATCAACACCGATTTATCGCTTGTCCTAGTTACAATGATCGATCAACCTCAACACATGTTACAGTCGATAGTCGCCCAGAACACGCACCACCAATAAAACTTGTTCAAAATCCTTCAAATATTTCGATCCATTCAACTATTCCGTACATTTTGTGAGCTTTCGCACACATTCGATCGTAAAAGTAGTTCCGAATTACAGAAAATTTTTCTTCTAGTGTTCCGAAATAGAAATGAGGAAAGCTGTGTATTGTTTATATGCGATACCTCTTTCAGTGCTGCCAACACCACTCTTGGGGTTGACTAAAATTACCTTCAGTCTTCGATTTTACCTTATACAATAACGTCGTGAATCTGTTTGGTGGCAGTACATTTAGAAATAACCAGGATAATTTATGCATTTTCATGATGCAAAAGATCTTTTTTCTCTCTCAAACTGTGACACTCAAGATTTCGTAGCATAGAATGACACTTCCACAATAGAGCACATATTGGAGTAATAAATCACTTCGAAGAAGGACGAAGTCTCGAACTGAACACAAATCCACGCAATGTTCATCAATCATGATCAAATTCAGTTTAGTATTATACCTAACACTTTTCTATACAGAAATGACAATAGACTTTCCATTTACATGGAGAATCTACGTTTTTGTGCAAGAAATTAAGCCCACTTATTTATTATTCTACCTAACTCCAATATAGAAGAGTCACGGTCTACGGTATCTCATTTACTTTAATCGTATCATCAAGATATAAGGCGTGAACTTAACTACCGTAGGTAACAGAGCCTGAATCCTACATCGGCTCAAATGTTTGACATCAAAGAGTACGAGCACGTTTCCATAGCAAACTTCACAGAAATTACAATTGGGAATAAACATTTCAATAGTGTCACTGTTAATCGATACTTCAACAGAGGTGTATAAAGGAAGATTCAGGTCTGAATTCGTCCGTTCTGAAGTCTTAAGTAATCGCTTAAGGCCACAATCGGGAAATGAATATAAAATGCGGATGAGTCAATTTCTACGACTCAACTGCATCCCCTTTTGCGCGTTGTTTAGACTTCATGCCTAACGCTGGTGTCGGAGAAGTTGCCGCCTCAGCACGGCGAACCGTTTGAAGCAGTGTCATTGGAGATCTTTGCGGAAAATACAACTTCACACGAATCCAACTTTATACGAAGTTCGACAGCATTTAACAGGGACATTCACTCGTAGTTTCGGGATGTCACTGTTACTCATTTGTTGTACAAGAAATGATGTGCCTCTCCCTTGTTCGATCGGCTAAAGAATATGCAAAATATTACACTACAGACGCTAAGAATGATGTGAAATACAACACATTTTCAAAAAGTATTAGTTCAAGTATTCCAATGAACGGATCACTGAACAATTCCTTCGTTTTATATTTATTTTTAAAGCTGCTGGGAATTTTAAAATAGTGGATACGTTTAAATGTCGCTGTTACACTTCGTATAAATTTGATTTTGTACGTAGTTACGCGCCTCGAAGCTAAGTAGTCCACTGCCGAGTGTGATATTTGAGCTAAAAACATTGGTTTACGAGCTGAATTATTAAACATAATTTAAACTATTTTCGGCTTCAAAGATAAAACATCGTGGTTTTAAAATATCGCCGAGGACATGGACTTGCATATAACACACACGAAGAGATGACAAATCTGAGTGCGAAAATCTTAAGAAAAACCATAAAACGATGGGAGAGTAATTAAAACATTATTTTAAAAATGTGGAGTGTGAAAAATGTGGACTTCATCTCGGTCAGAATAGAAATTTTGTAGAGATCTTGCGAACACGGTAATGAATCATCTGGTCCCAGGAAAGCAAGTTAATTTCTTGATCAGCTGAGCGACAATCAGTTTCTCAAGAAGGCTTGTGTCCTATGGCGTTATTTATTAATAAATAAATATCCTGGGTAGGAACTCTGTTAAATAATCGAGGATATAAATATAAGTAATCAGTGAATGGAGTTGTGTGGATTTACTGACATGAACGGAAGAATGTATCAGGTTTGGCGACCTTCCACATACAGACAAGAGTCGCTGTGTTAACCTCAAAGATCACAGAAAGAAGTCGCAAGCCTTGTACGTACCGGAGTCTTGCCGGCGGGCGTAACCGGCGATGTCAATGGCATTTCCGTTGATCACCAGGTCACGCATGCATCCAACATAGCCGTGGCGTAACACTCCTGCCCACAGGACCGGTGGCACAGTCAGTGGGGCTGTGGGCGGGCCTACGCCCCCGATATACAGCGGCCCCTCCAGATCCAGCTGATTAGATTCGCCTGAAACAAAATAAAGCTTATCGATATCCAAGTGTTGATGATGTTCTTTTGGGGTCCTGGCGCCGTGTGCCAACGTTTCGGAGAACCGTACTGCCTCCATCTTCAAGGATGAAGTGGCAATGCTGGTAGTAACTGTGGCAAAAGGGAAGTCTGATCGGAATAGTACGGACCCGCGCTGTGAGATGATTTATGAAGCAAATATAATCGTATATAACGATTGGATTAAGCAAGCACACACTGACGTCGTGAAGAAATGTATTAATCCACAGTGCGTTCAGTGGTCCCCCGAAAATTAACAGAACTTATACGAGTATGCCTCCGTCATCCAAATTCACTGCTACCCGTGCGTTTAGACTTCACGCTAAACAGGAGTGTCGGAGAAGTTGCAGTATCATCACGGCGAACCCTTTAATCAACTACGAAACTCCACGAAGCAGAGTCCTTGAAAATTTCGCAAAAATATAATTCACAAAATAATAAGTTACTTGTTTTTGTAATATTTTTGCATCATGATTAACAGATCAAATGTACAGCAACAATTGAATTTATTTTATTCTCTCACAATCAAAATATTATTTTAATTGTCCAGCGCGTCGTAACATTTACGTCTTTACTAAGCAGGAATAGTTAATATATTTCGCCTTTTATTTCGATGGGTGCGAAACATGGTCTCACATCATACGGTAAGATAGTATACTAAGGGTGTTTAAGAAAAGGCTGCTGATATTATAGAAACAGAGTCAATGATACGCATTGAATTCAAATATATAATAAAATACAGGTCAATACACAAAACAATTAGAATGTTAAAAAATTTGAAATTTAAATTTTAAATTCAAAATTTTAAATTTTGAATTTTAACATTTAAATTTTAAATTTTTTAACATTCTAATTGTTTTGTGTATTGACCTGTATTTTATTATATATTTTAATCAAAAACACAAACATGACGCATGTAAACCTTGCATTGGATTCATATACCTCAGGACAAACGATACTCCAAGTTTCATAAAAGGCATGACAATTTTTTGATTAGCTAAAAGACTACCAGATTCTCAAAGAATATTCGTTTATGAACGTAGATTTATAGTATTTTGGCTGAGGAAGTTAGTTTCTTATTCCACTGACCGGACCAGTACCACAAAGCATTTGTTCGTGTTTTCTTTGTTTGATTTCCGTTCGATATGATAGGAGGAGTTTGTTTTGCTGTGGTGAGACATTCCGAAGATATTGGGGATTCCGTGGAGGCTTTGGCTGTCACTGTCTGTTTTTCTTCCTTCCTCCAGCCGAAGAATGAAGACCAGAAATGCCATTGATTACTCACTTAGTTTGTTTCAGTAGGAGACAGTTGATTGCAATTGGCGTGTCTCCCTTCAAACAAAGAAATGAAGACACGTGTCTCTCTCGATAGTCGAACGAGTTCAGAATTTCTATGGCGCGGAACAGCCCGGTCTCTGTAGCCGATTTATACCCCGGATCACTGTGATTTATCGAATTCGGTTTAGATCGAGAGCATTCGAGAAAATGACACTAAACAAAATATTTGTATATAAGGCGGAAGTAACCCGAATGACACGGAATCTGGTAACCGATTTGCCGAATCGTACTGATGATGGCAGCAGCAAACTCCTCCGAAACGCCCGTTATTGTTTACGCGTAACGTCACAGAAGAGTCATCTTCATGCCCTTTACCGTGAAAATGTCAGGTCTCAACAAGACCTCCGGCTGTCGATTTAAAAATTTAATCGTATTTTAAATGCGAAATTTTAAAAAAATATACGACCATATATAGGCCTCTAATGCACTTAAATCTGTAAAGTGATTATTATTCTTCAAGAGTTTCTTCTCCAAGTCTCGCTTTAGAAACGATGACATTTTTATTAATTATAATAAATCAAGACAGCGAGACAATGAAAGATGAAACATATAAATAACGTTCTCTCCTTCCAATGGTCTGCCTACCATCGTAACCGCAGAATCGAAGTAGCTACATCGACCTCGTGATAGAAATCCAATAATACAGAGACAGACTGAACCAGACACATTTAATTACATCGTTGAAAGTTGGAGGGATAATTAATTTCCGCTCAGCTTCGCGTCACATAGCTCGGCCTGTCTATAACTTCAACATGGATCTCAGTCTCCAGTGAAAGACTGCACAAAAAATAATTAGTGTAGGCGAGTATAATTAACACCCACAGTTAATCGAGAAACATTTTTTCTAATAGCTCCACGTCCACTTGATGGCGGGAGATGCTTAAGAACTTAACATCGAGCAAGTGATATCCGAGGTTCTCGTGGCGGCAAGATGAATGTGGCTGTCTTCTGTTTAGTTTCCTAGAAGTTTACCGACGTTTCAGAGATGCTTTCTGCCCCCATCATCAGAGCGCAAGAAGACAACCATTTTAACACGGGGTAGACATATGTTGAACCCACAGGACAAGTTTCAATATTGTACCTTTCCCCGTTCCCTCCTGGAAAACGCAAGAATATTATGTTTAAATACCTCATACGTTAAAATAGGCCACGCCTTCTGTCACTTCCTTCCCAATTTAATATTAAAATCCATTTCATTTTCGTTGTTAGACTTGGAGGAAAAGGACCACTTGGAAGACCTAAGAGTAGATGGTAAGATGACTGAATTCGTGTCATTTATAACAGGGACCAGTGTCTGACTCTTGAGATCCGTGAAACACCGAATTACTTAAAATTAGGAGTGTTCCTTAATCAGCTGTAAGAAGAATTGCGTTGAACGTAATCTTACGTTGGTTACAGTACATCTGTAGCACCCTACGATAAAGCCAACAAAATGGCTCTTCTGTTATAATTTGGACACCTTACGATAGACAAAATGGCTCTTCTGTTATAATTTGGACACTTTTGTTGTATATACTGACCAACAAACAGGCCTGTTTACCATAGATACTACATTTCGACTTCGAGACTGTCAGAATCGACCACACAAATGTCCCTGTGGAGCCTGGGAAAACGAATTCAGCGTCCAGGGTCCTCAGCAGCTGTAAGTGTCAGCGACAACAACCCAGTGCACTATAAAAGATCAGATGCCCCTTGTGGCGATGGCTCCAGGTTGATACCCCAGTTAACAGACACTTCAGACCGCAGAGTAAACTGAGACCGACATCAGATCTGACTTAAAGGCAGTGTCGGAGTAACAATAAGCTCTTGTCCACCCACGACGCCTCTGCGTGGAAGATTGTAGACGGAAACCGAGAACTATCAGCGCGTGCTGGCGAATTTATTCCCGAGACGACAAGAGAGGGACGGCGATGGCTGGATTAATGTCTGTCCCCTAGTTCAACTTTTATTCGCTTTTCTAAAAACTTCGTTACTCAAAATCCTGTGGGACATCACCTACTCACGTATCAAACAAATTATAAGTAATTTGTGACCTGACGCAAAACATTAATCTGGAAACATTTATACAGAGCGTTTACTGATAAATTGAACGCAACTTTCAAGGCTACAGGCAGGAACTGCATGGCCCACCACCAAGCGCTACAAGGTTTCAGCGACACGAATCAAGTATGTCTCAAAAAGAATAAAAATAAAAATAATAATAAAATAAATAAATAAAATAAAATAAAATAAAATAAAATAAAAACTAACGTATGTTACATCACTTTCTCCCGAGAGCCGGGAAGTGATATTTGCTTTCAAATTTGTCACTGAAATCCACACCTAGAGTCATTTCGGCTTAATACATTCAAAAATTTACTGAAGGAAAGTTTATGGACTGAAAATCATAGATCGATATTCGCGAATCACCAACAACTGTTTCCTAGGCGGGAAATTGTATGTTACTACGTCATGTTCACAAGAACCTACCTCTTTATTCTATCCTGAGAAAGATAAGTCCACAAATCCATCAATACACTATCCTCCCATCGACATCTAGATCTTCCAAGTGATCTATTTCCTTTTGGCCTTCAGACCAAAATGTTACACGAATATCATTTAAATTGAATATTTATTGATTAAATTAGCTTCGATGAAAATTTAGAGTTTAAATTCACATTTCAACTCGCCTCCGACCAGACACGCAAAGTCTGCGATCTCTTTCTTCAATGTAGGCCCAATAACGCGGATTGGTGTTGTCGTAACGATTATGTGCGTGGGCGGTTAAAGTTGAAAGGACTGGGTCGATGAAATGGGCTTAAATGTGAATGCAATAACACGAATGCGTTCATTCAGTTAGAAAGTACTCCCACGATATTTCGAATCCAAAATGGTACTGACATTTAATTACTGGCGGAAGGACTTGGTGTTCCAGGAGTCGACGCGAGGGACATGATTCATGCCATTTACGAAATATTTTTTTAGCAAGAAAAGGTATTTTTAGTAAGACTCCCCTGTATCAAATTTAGCGGGGAAAAAACCCATTCAACATTTCTGGAGTTTTTACGGTCATTGGTTTAGAAGACCAGATATTTTAAGCAACACAACTTGATGAACACCAAAGCCACACCCACCATCAGAGCGTCGAGTAAGCACCGTTAACTGATTATCAAAACAAATGTTTAAAATTCCATAAAACAATTATTTAATCGTTGAGATAAAATTATGAAAATATGTACTTTACGTAACTACTCCAACTCGGATTATGTGGTGTGTGGACAAAATCCTGTTTGATTAAAGACTCTCGGGTTACGAGCCGCGTCAGGTGGCTGAATGGTGAATATACCATATCTTCTGCCAATGTTTCGAGAGCAATCTCTGCTGTCATCCTCAGGGGATGAAGACGAGAGCAGAGATTGCTTTCGAAACCCGAGAGTCTTTCATCAATTTCAGTCGCCGCGAAAACTACATCAAATCTGCTATCTCTTACAATCCTGTAATTCTGTGACGTTACGTAAAAGAGTGTTACGTCACTAAACATCACCTCCAGCAGAACAAGGTACAACTTTAGACGTCCACTGAGTAATGCAATGCGACAAATTTAACAATTTCTGTGTCTGTAACACTGGAAATTATGTTTTAAAATCGATCACTAAACAGCGCGTACAACCAAGGTTCAATAAATATTAACAAACAGGATTCTAAAAATATTGACGCAAAGAAGTTTCGTGCTGAATACTGAAATCTTGTTGAAATACGCGTAATTCTTTTTCCTGAAACCACATTGCTAAATCGAGAATATTCCAATCGATGACGCACTACACTGTCGCCAACCTTCGAAGCTTTCAGTTTCGGGGTTTTTGTTCGCATTGCCTCTCAACGTGCCCCGACTGACAACACAACGCCTTCGTTTACCTGGAGTGCTGAAGTCGGCGGCAGTTCCGTCCACTGTGACGCGACCTTCCTTACCGGCGCGTCTCAGCGTCGCCTCGTGCCATACGCCGTCATCAACACGACGCGTAGTGGCCTTGACCCTGACCCCGCCCGAACCAAGGTCAAGGTGGAGGTAGATATGGCCGTTCAGAAGCTCGAAGGCGAAGAAATCCGCCTGTAAGAAAACACGTGTGTTCCTGAACGCATGACAACACTTCACATCGAGAGAGAACCAGTCTTCGTACTCTGAGTTCCTTCATCTCCCGTTACGTATTTTTTCTATGAATAACAATCATTCATAAGATAGTATAATTGCGTCATATTGTGAATCAAATATTAAATTAAATTTAAATATAATTGTGATTAGACGGACAAAACCGAATAATTAATTTAATATGAATAACAAATACAAATTTTAGTCGAAAAACCTTGAATGTGAAACTTGGGAAAACTTAGACGTCACGCCAAGTATAATAAAGTGTGAGTGTGTGGTCTAGATCCATATGAAGATGGCTGCCTTCTAGGTTCAAGCGCCGTGTAGTCTGGTAGAAATTTACCAACGTTTCACAGATCCTTGAAGCCTCCATCATCAGGGGCGAGTCATCGCAAAATACACGGCGCAACAATCCAGAAGACATCCATCTTCTCTTAAAGATTCGTGATTGGAAAAACATTTAGCAGTGACTACATTGTATTAAATGTTGTTTTATTTCAGACAGACTTTCTGGCATTGTTAATCACAACAAGAGAAGACTGACTTACATGTTAATTACTAATTATTCTTAAATGTCGTACACTAATTAATAGCGATGTTGTAACGCACTCTGAGCCAGTTACACCCGAGAAAATAAAATCCGTGTAATGTCAGCACTAAATTATATTTACCGAGTGTAATAATTAAGTAGCTGATCCACGAATAAAACATCCAAAGTACGAGGCGCGTCCCAAAAGTAAGTTTCCCACTCGTCCCACAGCTAGCAAACCTTATATTGCGCGAAGCGACTGTGCGTACGTGATAGAGAAATGACGTAGCATGGCGCATGCACTAACGGCACTTCCCGCGTTCTCACAGTAGCATCGTTGCAGCTGTTGAAGATGGAGGTTCTTATTCCAGCTCCCGCCGACTGTGAAGTGCGGTCAGTGATAACGCTAGGCCGCACACGGCTCGACGGACAGCAAGTCTCCTGCAGGAGTTCAGCTGGGAGGTGTTTAATCATCCACCCTACAGCCCGGACCTCGCTCCCAGTGATTTCCATCTTTTCCTACACCTCAAGAAATTCCTGTCCGGTCAGCGTCAGCGTTTTGAGAATGACAGAGAGGCGGAGATGGCTGTCACACAGTGGTTCCAATCCCAGGCGGCAGACTTCTACGACACAGGTATTAAAAGTTGGTCCCACGGTATGACAAATGTCTCAATTCCGGTGGCGAATATGTTGAAAAATAGCTGGACACTTGCTGTATCTGTTGCAATAAATATTTCCATGAAATTGTGTTTTGTTTCTGTAAACGGCCCCAGGGAAACTTACTTTGTGGACGAGCCTCGTACACTAACAGACAAGGAGGCTGAATGGAGGGACGAGGTTTAAGCGACTACATTTCAATCAAGAAAAACGCCCACCCGTTCTGCATCCGACGCAAATACGCCATATTGTCATTTGGAATGACTACAACATAAAAATAAACATCTACAACGGAAAATTGATTGTGAGTGTTGGTTTCAAAATTTACGATCTCATTTTCCTCGAGGGAGTAGATTGAGTGGCCAAAACACACACACACAGTCATTTTATTTAATCGTAACACTGGACGTACAGGAAAACATTATTTTGGAGACTTTAAACTCCCTACCAAGTCGTTCTGGGCAATAAGACCATTGTTTCTAGCGAGATTTATAGTCTATTACGACTTCCATATGTAGACGTCACTAATTTAGTGAAACAAGACGAGTAGCCAATACGGGTCATGATTCCAGGCACATAAATACAACGTTTTATAAGCCTGTATATACTGTCCCGACTTCATGATTGCATAAAAATGTCGTAATAACACAGAACAGTATAACTCACAATTCTACATTATAAATTTTCGGTTTATTTTATTACATAGCGATTTATTTTTAATTAAATCTCTTCCAGAATTCAGATTTGAATATTTTATCTCTTCGTTTCATAACTAATGGCATCAAATTTTATAACACATCTGAGATAAATACGAACTTTGTTATGAAGAAAATCGGATTTTGTAATTGGGCCTTTGTTACTGTTACAGCATGCGGCCCGCCGTCTAGGAATGAAGTTTGTACAAATGTTGATTTCCAACTTCGTGTCATATGACATTACGAGGTTCACTTGGCGTTAAATATGGCGTCTTGAGGCTGTGTCGCTACGCTCAGCGTAGGTTTTCAAACGTCTATTCTAACTGAATCAGAAGGTTTACTGGCATCGGTGTCCGCCATATACCGACGTTCATCTGTCACAAATACAGCGGTTCATGTCACCGTGGCAAAGATTGGCGTCGCGACGCTCTGAATCGGTTTGACAGCATCTTGCCATCCCGAGGTTACTCTTTGCGAGATTTTAAATTCTGAGCAGTCGCGGGTTCAGCGTCGGTAGGATCACATCTCTAGACTACTCTACGCTAAGTACGGCGTCTAGTATCGACTTCGGGACGATGCTTGACGGTTTGCCAATGTCGTGCCTTATCGCTTCCAGAGACGTTTCGTGCCTTGATTTTGTGTTCTGAGTCGGCGTCGGCTTGCCAGCGTCTTGTCTTGTGGCATTCATAGGGACATCTGCGCAAAAGATGGCGTCGTGTCTCGGGCTCGCGACGCGTTTCGTAGGGTCTGTCATCGCGGATTGCTGTGTGTCACGTATTTCTTTCGCAAAGGCTGGGGATTTTCTTGTCTAACTAGTCGACTATCAGCTTCTAAAGAAGCAATATATTAAACTGAGTTCTGTTCATAAAGCAGCAACTGACTGTAGGTAATGTGCATTGGAGCCGTGAATATGTTGCACAGAGACGATATCCATCATTGAATTCACATGAATTAAACCCAGTTTTTTCAGTTCCTCCTGCAATATTTCAGAATTCCAGGCCGTGCAGAATTCTGTGGGAAAACACGCGTTCACTCTTCGTAGGTTACAAAGTCCAGCGGCAGCCAGCGTGGTTATTAATATGACAAGAGCCTTCAGGGCTTTTCCGTTACCTCGATTAATGACTTACCTACGCATACCCCTTATTTATGTGCTACAGCGGGACAGCGAACGTCCACAACATGATTACATGTGCATCGAACTTCGCGGTAACACGTAAAACTTGACAGAGTGAACAAATCGATATTACAAAGACTTTGAAATTTTAAAGTTAATTGTCTGTGGTAGGTAACGTAAATTTAGCCACGCGTTTGTTAAAATAAAAAACATATGGAGACCCTTCTGTTGTACAAGGCTCAGTTGCCAACGCCACTGATCAGGCTCTTGGAATGTTCCAATTGAAAAGATCAAATTCGTTTCTCCTGAGTTTTTTTTAAACGTCTCTGGAATCTAAAATGTCACTTCGTTTAAGATAATTTTAATATTATCCTTGCATATAATCCTGTGTATCTCACGCGTGCTGCATGCCCAGTTAACTTCATCCGCATTTATTCGATCAACCTGGTAATATTTGGTGGAAAATACAAAAGTTAGTGCCGCGAAATATAAATCCCTTGTACTGACACCACGTGAGTTGAGGCTGTGGAACGTAAACACTGGAAAAAAAAAATAATTAAAGCAACTCACATGTGAAGAGCTGGCCCCGCTGCTGTACATCAGAAGTCCATTAGGCTCGTTCGTTCGAATCTTGAATGAGATAGAACTGGACCTGGTAGCGTCCAAAGGGGGCAGGACCTGCGAACAGGTGTAACATTTCGTGGGTACAATTTTGGCAGCAACTGCGTTTGTTTCTTCAACAAACGTCCCCGGTTTCAAATTCAACTGCAATAAAAATTAAATCTTGAAAAAAAAACTGACTGACTCCACGGGGAAGTTAATTAGATCTAAAATAATTTATAGCTAGAAGAAATAAATATTTTATTATCTTGACTGAAACCAATCCTTTCACTTTCATTTTATCTGACGTTGAAATTTGAACTTCGTAGCTAGGAAGAGACTTTAAATAGGTACATATTTCTTTACCAGTAATGCATCTTTAATTCTGATTTCGGATAGATTTTTTTCTCTTCCAAAAACAAAGAAGCTTTAAAAAAAATTGTTAAACCCTTCTGCCAAAGCCGGCACTAGTAACCACAGATGAAGTATTTTGATTCCTACCAGAATTTTCTTCATGACATGGTGAAGAAATGCTGACGTCTCCATAATACCGAGCAAGATTTATCTTGAAGCCAGAAATATGCTTGATTCTACTCAGTACTAACACATTTATACATCAAAATAAAATATAAATTTTCCTGCAAAAGGGACAGAATGAAAACAAAATATTTTTGAAAATAACTAGATATTGTGTGAAGGAAACTTGAAACTGGAAAATGAAAGAAAGGTTTCAGTTTTCAACATAAATTGAAAGCATTAATAGAGTGGCAGAAATAAGACGAAAAACATATCCAGGAACAAAAATTCTACGAGATTTTCTTTTTTGTATTTAAATAAACGTTTGTATTGCCTAGTGGTAACACTGTGATAAACATAATACTGTAAACAGAGGTACGGATTATATGGTTAATCGCTGTTTATACTGAGAATCGTATAAGACCTATAAATACGAAATCCACAGTTGCCAACTGTCAAAGCAGGTGATGCATATAATTATCATCAAAATTGAAAGGGTTAATATTCTGATTTATGTCACTCTGTGTATACGTCAACAAGCTGTTAGAGCACATTAGGTACTGTCTATAGGCACGGAGTTAGACGGATGCAGTTTTCAGTGATGTCTCAGCAGCGTGTTATATATCCATTCAGTGCGGTGCATTACAATCCAATGCTGTTATACGACCAAGGTTAGACATCGAACATCGTGTAACCTACACGTGACACCTAATTTACGTTAGTGCGGTGATGTATACACTACAGGGGCTTACCACGTAGGACTCTGGAGTTGCAAACGTTGCCCCTCGTTCTAGCCGTGCAGCCTGGGACAGAAATTGAAATGCAGTCAGGTTCGACTATGTGACTGTTCGGACTAACTTCCTGTTTTAGTGAAAGTATAATTCAGCCACACCAAATAATTGTTACGTAATTATGTTGAACTGCAGGAATCCAGTTTACATTTAAATGTGCGATGGACTGTCGCTTGTCAGACTTAAAGAACACTTTTCACACAGATTACGAAGAACTGAGAATCCAATTTTCCATAAACAGTTTGCTGAACTGTTTCTTATTTTCACAAATACAATTTTTCTACACTCACACATACTGTACTTCCTACAACGTCACAATTCTATTATTAATTTCGTGTCTGTATGTGGCATTTCGCTCGAAACATTTAAACATTTGACTTTTCTTCTCCAAGAATTACATTCGAAATCTTTTAATTTAACAGATAACTCGCAAAGTGTGGGAGTCCCTTCCATGATACATGGTAAGCTCGACCGCTGAAGAAATGGTTCACTTTACGACTGCAGAGCTGTACTGTGGAGCTTTTAGTACTAATGAAAGCACAAAACAACGAGGGATATTATTTGGAGATTACAGTATGAATTGTGTTGATGCTAGTCTGTTACTTTTCGCCATTTACCCATAAATACGATAAAAAAGATTGCAAGGCAGATCACACGCAAATCTAAAAAAAATTAAAATACTCCATGCGTCCGGTCTGTCCAGCGGTTGCTAGGTGACCATAGATCGACACCGTATAATACACTAAAAGAGATTAATGTCCACAGCTTTATCCGCGTCTAGGAAACCATACACGATTTACTGTACTATATCTGGTTTTATATCCGTTTTGTACTTCCATGACCAACAGAGACATTTCTACGGCTCTGTTAGCAAATTACTGCTCATAATCTGCAAAGTAATTGGACATATTTAGAGGTCGTGATCTTACGAGGTGCGATCGGAAAGTTTCTAGACTGTGTCAAAAGAGGGCGAACCGGATGTAGTACGAGCTTCTGCCGCTAGGGGGTGCGGCCTACATTCATAGTGAATCAGTGTGCCAGCCGGCATCATCGAATTAGCATTTGTTTCTTAGTTACGGGCGTTTTGGTAGTGCATTACACCGACCCTCCTGCGATTTCGGAATGGCGTGTGCATCAAATTTTGCCAAAGACTCCCCAAAACGGCTACGGAAACCTATGAAATGCTAAAGCAAGCATTTGGGGAGTCCGCAATGGGTCGTGCACAAACTTTTGTGAGGCATTCACGTTTTAAAAATGGCCGAACCTCTGTCGATGATGACGAGCGTTCTGGACGACCATCTTCGAGCACAACGCCCGAAAATGTTCCGAAGATTCGGCAGGCCATTCACGAAGATCGACGTCGTACCATCAACGACTTGTGCGACATTGTTGGGATAGGCTATGGGACCTGTCAGCTGATTCTAAAGGAAGAACTCCACATGCGACGCATCCTGGCTGAGGACCAGAAGCAGAATCGACTTGACTTCTCGTTTGTCAGGAGCTCAAAGATCTTGCAAGAACCGACCCCAACTTCCTTTCTAAGCTCCGTGTGACTTCTTCCTCTTCCCAAAGATGAAAATTCAGCTAAAGGAAAGGAGATTTGAGACGATAGAAGAGATTCAGGCAGAATCGCAGATGGTGCTTGACAGGCTGACAAAGAAAGATTTCCAGGGATGCTTCCAGGCTTGGCAGCGGCGCTGGGATCGTTGTGTTCACTCCCAGGGGAACTACTTCGAGGGTGATGGATGAATTTAATACCTGAGATAAGTGTACGGGTTTTTATAGGCGCAGTCTTGAAACTTTCCGATCGCACCTCGTATTCGGTTCACATAACCACACGAAGGCAAATATTTGCTAAGAATAATCTCTACACAACCGTGAACGAAAATATACCACGTCATATAAAAAAGAAGGCGGCAATGACTTTCTGTACAGCAGACATAACAGCAGAGCACTCTTAGTGATTGAACCTCAACTAAGCAGAAGCTTCTAAAACGTTGGAATAATACAGGCAACCGTCTTCCCCTCCTACATGATGGTAAATTTACCTTTTACAAGAAACAGATCTTCCACACTTTCCCTTATCCAACACTACACATTTTCTGTTACCGAAAACTTTCTCATCAGCAGAGTATCTGCAGTATATTTACGAAGTACGAACAAAACGCTGTTACACAGAATAATTTTCTGGAATCAGAGCAAGTCTTGTTTATACCAGGTTCAATCGAGTTAGAATAACACACATTTGAAATCCGGAAACTGTTAATACTTTCCCCGGAAACTCTAGGCCCTCTCAATACCCACAGTTCATTGCTGTTGATGACGTGTGAAAACGGTATATCTGCACTGCATCGTGAAGTTTTCATCTGTCATGGACTCGTAAAGCGAGCACTGTATTTTGCAAGCGAAACAGTTCGGACATGAGGATTAACCGGACGTTATTTGTGATCTACGCGTGTGGATGCGTTCATACGTCCATTTCCTCACTTAGTTTGAGGGCAGGATGGTGGGAGAAATTGTGTGAACAAAGAATCCGATTTAACAGAATGATTTCCTCATTCTGTATCATTCTCATGGTTAAATGTATAACAGCGTGGTTCCGGGGGATAGGGTCAGAAATTTGATTGAGAAGATGGTCACATTCCATACTAATTGACTGATATGCAAACTGATTGCTGAAAGGATGGATTGAAAAAAAAAAAGCGGGCAGCTGGAGGGGGTGGATATCTATCCCTGACAAGCGAACGGACTCCGCCGATCAGCTTTTCCTTTGTTCTAGTGCATTTTTCCTTTTTCTTTGTTATAGAAACGTAATGTTATACGTACCGCATAACAAAGTGAACAGAATTACTGATGTGTGTGGTTAGTATTGACAGAAATGTTACATTACCGAGCTGAGGGAAATTAGTTTTCTGAAAGAATCTTTATGTTCTGTACATTTACCCAACAAATTAAACGTTTCCTGTCTGAAACATAAATGAAAAAACAAACAAAAAAAAACATACATATTCTGCTATAGTCTTGTTATGTGGGTCACGTACCCTGCAGGATATTTCAAGATTAACTCGTTTTTATTTCCAATTAATTTTCTAACTGCAAAGAGCAGAATATGATTTCAATCGAATGCATTTGCGTGGTTTGTATTACAGAGTTTGTTTCTAGCAACCATCCTAAAACTTCCCATGTCACAACATTTCATATTATTATATTTATCGTCAAGTCGTAATTTTCTTGCAAAAACATTAGAAATGATAACGCATATGAACAGACTTTAACAGCAATCTAATGTCAATGCACATCCCAACAGCCAAGGGTATCTTCCACATATTGGCTATACTGCCGATGTTTCGCTGATCATTTGTATTTCCTTCTTTAAGGCGCCATCGTCCTGAAACAGGGTCCATACTGAAGGTATGTAGCACCGTCTAGTCTACTGTAGTAGATACTGACCGACGTTTCAAAAAACATCGTCTCCCACAAA